ACCATTCCAAACAATCGGGCCAAGAACCGCAAAGTTGCGGGAACCCGTCACCAACTTTGTGGTCGGGATAAAAAATAAATTGCGCTCGGTTGATCGGAAGGAATATTTTGAAAAATGAGATTTTATGATTCCAATCATCGATGAGGTAGGGAGGTGCTGTATTATTGACACATTTAAACATCAAAACTGCCAACTTGAAGGAAACACGTTTTTCAACCCTCAACCAGTGCAACCTACTCAAAATAGGCGTAACATGATCGAACCACGAACCACCCAAAACCAGCTTGGCCGCACGATTCTGTATTGACTGAAGCTTTGAAAAATACCTTTTGGTGACACCATAAAAAAGGCCATTGCAGTAGTCTAGTCTGGAAAAGACGAAAGAGGAAACCAAGCTTTGAAGAACAGACGTGTTTAGTGATTTTTTGACATTGCGTAATAAACGGAGTTGGTTGGAGCAGACCCTCACTAAATTATTAATATGTAAATCCATCTTTAAGTTTGAGTCAATAATAACTCCAAGACTACGGACAGATGTGGAAAATTCAATGATGTCATTGCCGACACTGATCGATGAAATTTTGACTTTCGACAGCTGCTGCCAAGAACCAACCGGTAATATTTGTGTTTTAGATTGATTTAAATTTAACTAATTCATACTCATCCAAGATCCAATTTCGATGAGACAGTCAGTCAGTTCATTCAGAGAAGCATCAATCGAATCAACAGGACAAGAAACCAATAACTGAATATCATCAGCAAAGGCGTGGGAGCTGAACTCATATTTTTGAATGATATCAAAAACATCAGCAGTGTACATAAGAAACAACAGAGGTCCCAACACAGATCCCTGGGGGACACCAAACGATAGTTTGTTTATGTCAGAAAGGGTGTTGTTGTAAGAAACCTGCTGGGTGCGGCCTAAAAGATAGGAAGCGAACCACGATAAGACTGAATCAGAGAGAAAAAAATTTGTGGAGAGTTTATACATGAGACGAGTATGATCGACACAATCAAATGCAGCACTCATATCAAGTAATGCTAAAAAAGAAACGCATTGACTGTCAACTGAAGAGAACAGTTGGGAGAAAATATCAATGAGTGCAGTTTCTGTGGAAAAATATTGACGATAGCCGGATTGATTCTTTGGCAACAAATTGTTTTTGTTTAAATGCTGTAACAATTGTTTGATAACAACTCGTTCAATGACTTTAGAAATGAATGAAAGATTAGAGATAGGACGGTAATTTGATAAAACGTTGTCGTCCAAATTTGATTTTTTTAGAAGTGGGGTTACAATAGCATGTTTCAAAGGGTTGGGAAAACTGCTAGTTGATAAACATTGGTTGACAAAAAATGTCAAAAATGGCAAAAAAAGATCTATAAATTTTTTAAATATGTATGTTGGAATCAGATCAAGAGAACAAGAACTGCCAGGGGAGTCACAAACTATTTTACGCAATTGATCTGGCGTGCACATTTGAAAATTTGAAAGATTAACAATTGCTTCAGGTAAGACGACCCTAGAGACATACTCAAACTGGATTGGTTTGTTAGTATTTTCTATAGTCATGCTACGAATATTATTGATTTTATTGACAAAAAATGTCATAAAATCATTGGGGGAGAAATCATTTGAATGGTTATTATTGTGATTTTTAGATAAAATTTTGTCGAGGATATTCCACAATTTTTTTGGTTGTTTTTTAAACGAATCAACTTGATTTGACCAAAATTTGTTTCTTTTTTGGGAAAATTGTTGTATTTTTTCTTTTAACGGCTAAGCACCATGCATTTCGATTAATATCATTTTTCATTTTCCTATACAATCGTTCCAGTTTTCGACAATTGCGTTTTCATGAACGACATTCAGAGTCAAACCAAGGGGCAGATAGTACATGAGTAGATTTGACATAACGACAAGGAGCAACCATATCCACAATCCTCACGATTTCAGAATTAAACAAATCCAACAGGGTATCAGCGGAAGATGAATTGAACGGCCCTGAAATAGGTGATTTGAGAACTAGGGAAGAAAATTGATTTTCGTCAATTTGATTCCATGAACGAGTAAGTTTCCATTTTTTCTGAAGTGTGGGAACAGAAATAGGGAAACAAATTTTAATTAAACTGTGGTCTGAATTTGGTGGCTCAACGGAAAAAAATTGTAAGGGAAGGTCAGAACTAGAGGCAATTAAATCTAATGTTCTATCATGAACGTGGGTTGGTTCATTTATTCTATTTATCAATTGATATAAATCAAAAATTTCAAACAATTTCAATGCATTAGGGTCGTTCAAAAGTTCAACATGAATATTCACATCTCCAATAAAAATAACATAATTTGCTAAAAGCAATATTTGATCAAAAACATGATAACTCATCAAAAAACAATGGTGATGGAATAGAAGACCCAGGACGATAAATTGCAAAAACAACAATAGTTACTTTGTTGAAATAAAATTTCACAACTATAGCCTCAAACGTCTTAAATAAAGGCAGCGGAATTCTATAAAATTTAAAATAATTTTTAAAAAATACAATTATTCCAACATGGTTAGGGTCGGCCGGCCTCAAAAAATCTATGAACACAAAATCAGGTGGCAGAGTGAGTCTAAGTGATAAGTTATCGGACGACCCATGCCAGGATTCCGTAACAACAAAAATATCAAAATTATTAGAAAATAAATCGCGAACAGTTTTGATCTTATTCATAATTGACCTAATGTTCAACAAACCTAATTGCAATTTTAGTTCTGTGTCTTTATTGGTAACTTCACGATCATTACTACCACTTTTATCGTTACCATTACAACCATCATCACTATCGCAAATACCACCATCATTACCACTGCCGCTATCGTTACCTCCACAACCATCTCCGCCACCGCAAATACCACCATCATTACCACCACCGTTAACATTACCACCACAACCATCTCCACCACTGCAAATACCACAACCACAACTATCATAATCACCACAGCTGAACAAACTTCCACCACCAGCATCATCAGCAATACCTTCACCAGAAATCACTTCACCGGATGCTCTCTGAGTTTGACGATCCGCCACCTCCCCACCGTTCCCCTCACCTTGAATAAAAAACCCGGGCACGAGATTTTTCTTGATCAATTAGTTTGATCAACTGTTAAATCATGACTGATCCATACTTTATCAAGATCTTCATGCATAGTTTTTAATTTAAAGGAATTTTTTAAGACTAAATCTTTAATTGCACAACTCCTCGTTTCAATCAGCACTGGTCTAATTTTAGTTTCAGCTTTTGGACCCAGTCTAACAATTCTTTTAATATCCTGATCCTTGACTTCACTGGATAACTTTTTAATAATTCCTTTGACTCTATCTTTATCATCGTCAGTTTCTTGCAAATTGAACATCATTATGTTATTCTCTCTTTCTTTCATGTCATTTGCATTGGTTAAAGTTTTTTGAACACTTTTTACCTCATCATTAACTAGTTCAATATTTTTCTTCACTTCGCATCGGACAGCATCAGCAAAACTTTTGTTCAAATCGTTTTTAAGGTTACACAGCTCGGTACTCAAATCCGTGCCACCGAATCTTTCCGCCCCATCAACATTTCTCTGAATTAAACTTTTGATAGCTTCAAGTTCGCACCTCAACAAATTGTTCGATTCATCAATTTTTGTCAGTTTTAGTGTTGAGCGCATCATTGCTATCACGCACAGCTTTATTTAATGACTTTACATCAGGAAGTAGTTTCATGCATTCATCACAATACCACTTAATATTGGACACGGAACTGATAACCTTGAAAGCTGATTTACTTATTCCGACACAGTCTTGGTGAAAAGCAAGTTGACATTGAAAGCACTGAATTGCATCTTTATCTTCCATATTTCTAGCACATTGACATCCTTTGATCGACATTATTATTTCAAAAAGAATGTCTGCAAGTCAACTTATAAAATTATATTTTAAATGTCTTTAGAAAGTTAGCAGTCCGCAAGAATAAACACACAAGAAAAAAAACAAAAAATAAAAAACAGCAAAACACTTCAACTTTCAAAACAGTGCAACTTCTATAGACTATCCTTTATTGTTTGCAACTTTAACTTTATTACCGCGAATTCAAAATTTAAACCAAAAAATAGTGAAAAATAAAACAAAATTAAATTGCAAACAACCAACTGAAACAAAATTTATATCCTCTTATTCTTCTAAATTTATATTATAAAACGAAATCAAAATTAAGTCGAACACTCTATAATATCCTATGAAACTTTAGAAAAATACGGAGAAAATCGAAAACACTGTTGTTGAGTCAAAAGCCAAGCCATGTATATGCATGAGTATATGAACAGATTATTTTAAAATTTCATATGAATACATCAAATACTTTTTCTTGACAACATTTTATGAAACTAAGTTTCTTCACTCTGGGTTGGTTGAATTAAAAGATGTTATTGGATGTGTAGATGGATTGGCAGATGGTAACTAGATTTGTGGCTGAATGGTTAGATTGTTTATTGGATTGGTACACACCAGTTCAACAAAAAAATTTTTTTTGGGGTAATGATTGAGTTGAGTTCTTCCTTGGTTGTTCAATGTTATTTCTTGAAAATATTAGATGAATGAATGAAAGAATGAATGATTGAATGATTGATTGATTGATTGGTTGGTTGGTTGGTTGGTTTGTTGGTTGGTTGGTTGGTTGGTTGGTTGGTTGGTTGGTTGGTTGGTTGGTTGGTTGGTTGGTTGGTTGGTTGGTTGGTTGGTTGGTTGATTGATTGGTTGATTGGTTGATTGATCTTAATAATTGTTTTCATTTACATAAAAAATTGTGTTCATAAGTTTAGGTAAAAATGTTATAAAATATGTATAATGTTGAAAATCTGAAATTTTTTAAATAACTTTATTCTTCAAATACCTTATTTATTTATTTTTATTTATTTATTTATTATTTTTATTTATTTAAGATTAACAAATGTCCAAAATATTTATTTTGTTTTCAGTTTTTTAGATAAAACAAACGATTTAAAGTCATCAGACTACATGCCCACGGAACAGGTCAGTTGTTTCTGTTGTTGTGATGATGCTGATTTTGTTGTTGAGATGTCGATGTTATTGTTGGGATGTTGCTGATTTTGTTCTTGAGATGTTGATGTTATTGTTGGGATGTTGTTCTGTTGTTGTTTTAGTGCTCTCGTGCTGTCAATATTGATGTATATATTCTGGTGTTGTTGTTTTGTTTGTATTTTTTGCGTTTTTGGTGCCTCTGATGTTTTTTTTTTCACTATTTTTGTTATTGTAATATTTAAAAAAGATTACCCATCGAATTTTTTGCAATTAGTGTAATGGTAATCTACCATAGATTCTGTTTGGTGCTTTTAATGTCCACTAATTTGCTTAGCATTTATTAGATAAAAACAATTATGGACCTTTGCATCTCATTCAGGACATATTAAGGTGTCGCGTCTTGACATCTGGAATTTTCGAAACCAAATTTTCTGTAGATAAAGTTAATTTCCAGTTAGTACAACATTTACTATTCCGTTGTTACCATTAGTAATGTATTGACAGCCATTTCTCAATATTTTGGTGTCTGTATTTAAAACAACAATGCAATTCAACACATTAGTTTTTAAAGTTATCACTTCATTGTTATTTATAACCATAATCTTTTTTCATCACATTTTGTTTGATTAATCATCATAAACTGTTAACTTTTGGATTTCATCCATTCACCCCACATCATACTAGATTTCACTATCCACAAGCTTCGCCATGATTTCGTTCAGCTCATCGTCATCATGAACATGATAAGCAACATCACAAGCAACTTCATCATCACCGACTTATCATGAAAAAAAATTATCACCTCATTACGAATATTCTCACCAGCAACGCCATCATGCATCATCATCATCATCATCATCATGAACATCGTTATCATCATCATGCAGCATGTTTGACGTTGGTGGCCAGAGAGACGAGCGACGCAAGTGGATCCAGTGTTTCAACGACGTGACAGCCATCATCTTCATAACTGACTGCAGCAGTTACAACATGGTCCTCCGTGAGGACAGCACGCAGAACAGAATGAGAGAGTCACTCGATCTTTTCAGCACCATCTGGAACAACAGGTGAACACCATTACTTCTATCAGATCATTACTGTTTCCACGACTACTGCTACTGCTATTATTATTACTACTAGTACTAATACTCTGTACTACTACTATTGCTACTGCTATTAAAGGTTAAAAAAGGTTTCTCTCTCTCTTTTGCGTTTGCTTCAGAGTTTTTAACGACAAACACACACAGCGTATATGAATACGCGTGCAAACCACTACTACTACTACTACCACCACCACCACCACTACTACTACTACTACTACCACCACCACCACCACTACTACTACTAGTTTAATACTACTTAGTTTATCATTATTTTGTTTCCTCGATACCCCAATGTGGATCACCTCACCTCCTCAACTGGACATGTAATGTAACTCTTTATTTTTCTCATCATCGACAAACCTGGGTGTAGGCCAGATTTCAAGTGCAGTATTGGTCATGTTGATGGTTTGATTGCTATTGTTGGACCAATAATTTCTCTTAAGTAGTCCATAAATTATTCTTGGACATGATAGAATGCTGCAAACATCGGTTCATAATTGTTTTTGTTGTCAGTTTAATCAGCTTAATAGGAAGGCTAGAATCATTTCTCACGAATGTTGGACATATAGTATTTCATGTTTATACATGTATGTCGTATGTTGTACGAGTATATTGTATATACTCTTTTGTCGGTTGTGTGCCATCGTAATGTAATGTGGACAAAATAATTGATGTTATGTTTTTGTTATTACACTGACATTTTTTTATTTTTACTTTTAAAAAAATTGTTAACTTTCTTTAGTAAATGGATGTATTTATAGCTAATTTTAGCATGCTGGTTTCAAATCTTAAATCCGTTCGTTTGTATCACATCAAATTTTTGAGAAAACTTCAATTAAAGTTTTACTCACTTTCATTAGTTATAGCTAACAGTTATAATCATTATATGGTCATTAAAATATAAAAAAATTCTATCAAGACATTTGTTAGTCAAGAAATGTCATTTCGTTGAAAATGAGTAGCAAATAATATTTAAAAACGTTGTTGTTGCTCATTAAAACAAAACATGTCGATTGAAATTGCATATCAAGGGGGCTTGAGTGTTTTGCAAGCAGACTTTTGACAGTGTTTACTTTTTGGTGTATCATTCACGTTCCAGAAACCGAGCCTACTCCATTGTTCCTGGCAGTGTGATTCCATTAAACCGATTTCCTGTTTACACGCTTCCCATGTTCACCACTGACTTTCCAAAGTCATTCAAGGAAATCAAAAAGGGAATCAAGAAGATGAATTTTAAGGAAATCCTACATCCCATATTCTTGGAATGCATTGGAAGACATGTTCAACAGCCTTTTTGTAGTCACTATACATATTATTTTACAAGAAATTGGCAACAAAATATGTGAGCACGCCTCATGTCCTAAGATCGTTTTTATTTAGTTGGTCTTGGAAACGTTCATCACTTATTAGTTTTCGGATCCGAGGGCCCACAAACATATCTTCTTCTATCTTAGCATCACTGATTCGTAGGAACATAGAAAGGTGATGTGTAGAGTAGAGATATCATTCGTCTCATCCAACGCTTTTACAAAATTCTTCATTATACTCAACTTAATAGGTAGCGATGGTGATATGATATGTTTTTGAGAACAAAATATCATGCAAAATATTTTTTGACCAGGTTCCATGCAATACCTAATTGTTCACTCTTTTTTTAATAGTGTGAGCATCTCTATCCCATTTCACTATTCCATATGCAGAGGAAACAGCAGAACTTTGTGTTACCGACTTGCCGACCCAGGAGGATTGCAACGACTTTCACGTCTCCAAAAACTTCCTATTTTTAACCATTTTATTTTATTTTTATTAAAACATTGCTGATGTTGTCGTAAGTTTATTTTAACTGTGTGTAATAGGCAACTGGAATTGATGGCAATAAATTTTTATCTTTTAAACTTGTTTTTTGCATGAATGAAGAGACGCCGGTTCATGACCTAGATGGGTCATGATATTGTTGATATCATTTCGGTAGCACATATTTTTATCATCTGATGTAAAGTACTGCTTAAATTCACAGTATCTGTAGCGAAAGTGGCAAATTTTCACACCAGGAGCAAATTAATTGCATTGTTTTAATCGTGACCCTAAAACCACCGACTGCATATTTATTTTTAGAAACGGTCAGGAGGTTTTTTCCTTGGAACGCGATGTAATAGAGTAAAACGGTTTTCAGATTTGAAATCAGCTTAAAAATTATATAGAAACATTTAATGTTTTATGGGAAAGAAAAATCATGTATGTTAGTGTTATTAGTAGTAGTATTAGTAATAGTGTGTTATTATTATTATTATTTGTAGTAGTAGTAATAGTAGCGGCAATAGTAGTAGTGTAGTAGTTGTAGTAGTATCAGTGGTAGTGGTATTTTTAACATAATTTTTAGGTGTTACATGAAATAGGTAACAAACAAAACAAAATTTTATATAAATTCCAATCTACTTGATACATTTGGTTGTGAAGGATAAGAAATTAATGAATGACATTAATGGAGTCCAAGCTGATATACATGGGAATCATTTCCTCTTAATTTCTATAATAATTCATTTACTTGTCCACCTTTCCACAGGGTGTCCTGCCGTCGCATGTTCATCTCATAATTTGCTTCGTAAATTTTAATTTATGAATAATTTTCACGGTCCATAATGCGTCCAAGAAACGTTACTTTTTCACTGCCTGTTAATTACTTACATTTCGTTGTTCCCAAAATTATTTTTATCAACCATAGATTTAATTTATTTGGGCTTCCATCATTTATATATATATACCAATGATTATATCTTTATGCATTGTCTTTTGAGACAAAGTTCTTAGGTTTGAAGTAAATACGTTTAGAAATTTTATTTAAAGTTTGAAAAAATTTCTGCATTGATTTTTTTTATAAATATAACTCCTCATTTGTTCATATTGGTGCTATTGAAAATATACAAATAACTATGAATTATTTAAAAGGTTTTTCTACGGCTTAATGCTCTTAATGCGGCAGGTATCGTAATCGTCGTGATTATCAGCTCAATCTGCATCATCTAGCATTCACAGATATTCTCCTGTACCTGGCTCCGTTTCATTTTATTACTTGGTTAACTCATTTTTTAATGTAAATATATTTTCGATTTTTCTTCCTTCCCTTTCCTTCTTTCTCAACTTCAGTATCTCCTTCTCTTTTCTTATCTTATTTACCTTATGACTTCATACTCATTGCTTCAGTTGTCTCTATCTTGTGAGTAATATCCTAATTACTTACTAGTTTAAATATGTAACAATGTCAGTTTCCATTTGAAATTTTATTCTTCACCCACATACATTTAGTCGTACGATTTCCTAAAGCGTTTCATAAAAAACTCACCTACAGTTTCAAACTTTCAGATATGTTTTATGAATGTCGGTAAGCTATAAAACTATACTATCTTATATCTTATTCATATATCTTCAACTTTATTATACAGTCAATTAGCGAAAGATTTGGATGCATACAGCAGCGCACAGCCTACAGCTGCAGCATGAAATGGCTTCGGAGATGTGAGAGGGAGACCTGAGCCAAGATAAAAATTGCAGCACAATGAGGATAGATAAAATAACTGTTCATACCTGTTTTAAATATCAATATTCCAACACTGATGGTGATGATGATGACTATGCTAGTGATGGTGGTAATAGTCTTTATCACCATCATAATGAATTATTTGCAGTTGTATTCATAGAAATAAGTTCCTCTCTCTTTCTCTCTCTTTCTCTCTCTTTTTCTCTCTTTTTCTCTCTTTTTCTCTCTTTCTCTCTCTCTCTCTCTCTCTATATATATATATATATATATATATGTATATGTATATATATATATATATATATATATATATATATATATATGAGACAGAAACTTATGCAAGCACACATGCACGTGCACACAGTGTGTGTGAAGATGCTTGTGTCATGTTGGCGTGTGTGCGTGTGCATGCATGCACATAAGCATGGAATAGGATATTACGTTGAAGTATAAAGTCAATCTTCTGCATACATAATGAGTGTTGGTCTGATTAGAGAACAGATTAGTTTTTAAAAGTTGCTATATTTAGAACAAAACATTCTTCAGTCATTCATTCTTTTTTTAATTTATTCTATCTTTCTTGTATTTATTTGTTTGCATTCATATGTTTATTGGTTCGTTCTTTTTTGCTTGTTACTTTGTTCTCTGCAATTTTGTTGCTTCAAATTTTTCACAGTTTGTACAATTTGTTAACCTAATTTTCTTTGTAACAGCTGCAAGTATTTGTAACAATCATTCTGACTATTTAGTGCTAGTTTTCCAATGATAACACTCATTAGAAATATGTTTTGCTTCAATTTCCTACTACTTTTATGATGGTTGTGCCCTTATTCTCGGCCTCCAACCTGCTTGCCCGGTAGCTGCTCATTCCTCGTCAGGCTGGCAGACGATCTATCAGCTGCGAGGTTTTTTATTAGATTGAATTAAGATAATGATTGATCATGTGATTGAGGTGTCTGGAATTCATTTAAATGATAATAATTTATATAATGATATGGGGCTATATATAAAATTCAGTTGGATTTGGTGAGTTGAAAATGAATTAAATGTACGATCAAACAATGGTTAATGGCTAGTTTGCTTGTTCAAATTATCACTTGGCTGAAAATAAATTAGGATGTATCAATTAACAACTTCCCACTTACCAAATGTACGCAAACTACCTGCCTACCTATTAATTTCTTGTAGAAGTATAAAGTTTTGTGAAAGTATGTCATCAAAGTTTTACGAACATCAAAGTTTCAAGTAAAATGAAATAAATGTGAGTTGGCTTTAGTTTGATCAAATACAACATGCATATATAGATGTGTATGTGAGTGAGTGTGTGACTGACATATTATGTACAAATGCCAACCGTCTCATCTTTTAGAAAAACGTTTGCCAAGTTCATTACTTGAATCTATTGTGTTCATCAATTTCTTGCGAATCCTCTCTCTTGAATTGTTGAAAGGCATATGTTGGTTGACCCTTTGAGTAAATGGCGGCGCTCAAACTGGAAAGAAATATTCTTAAATAATAATGAGTCGTCATTTTGTGTGAGTTCTTATTTTAATTGAGAAGTTAACTGGTTAAGAAGATTGTGTCGATTGTGGCTGACAAATGCGTAATTTTACCTACTATACGATGTTGCAGTTATAAAAATAAAAATCCGTTTACCATTTTTGGTTACATAATTTTTCTGATTTTAAACAATGAATGTACATATATATAATTGATGCAATATTTGATAAAATATTTGATAGATTTTATCAAATGTATATATATATTATACCTTTTTTTACAATATTCTATAAATTCTACCAAATGTTTGGCGTTAACATGTTTGTAGTTCGTTTTTTCAATTTTTCTCACTAAAGTTTTTTAGTTTAGTTTATTAAAATTCAAAATAAACTTATTTTCCGAATTCATGCTGCAAATAAAGGCCATATTTCGTTCCGAATGAATAAGGAATTATATAGGGAAATATTGATTTTGTCAAAATGAACTTAGATGGAAGTTGACTTTGTCAATATATATATATATATATATATATATATATATATATATATATATTTATATATATATATATATGTGTGTGTGTATGTGTGTGTGTGTGTGTGTGTGTGTGTGTGTGTGTGTTCAAAGTTTATATGCTTATACAGCTAATATGTGACATGAATGATGAATGATGATCGTGATATCCCGTTGTTGAGTTGCAATGTCTTTTATTGTGTAGCTCTCGAAATTTTTATCAGTCATTAAATTTTTAAAATTTTCGTTATTGCTGGTTGTTTTCTGGTATTGTTATTATTATTTTTGCTATTATTGGTAATGATCTCATATACACGACATGACACTTGTTTCGTCCAACTCACGCATCTATCAGAATAGTTTATTTTATTTTATGCACTTTGTGACGCACTATTTCTCGAGAAGTGTTTATGCGAGTCTTCTCAATGTTTCATATCGCCACTAAATTAATCATCCTGGCTGGCTGGCCCACTGATAAACTAAGTTGAGTAATTAGGTTGTTGATTAATTGTCGTGCATTATATTGGCTATTTTGTACTAACCTGAAAGTTTATAGTAATTTTTTAAAACGTAATGGGCTTCTTTATATAAAATTCATCCAAAAACAGTTTAATTGTTCTTTTTCGTTTGAAAATCTATTACTAATCTATTATAAAATAAAATCTATTGCTATTACAATTGTTAAAACTTTAAACAGATGGTTGCGCGCCATATCGATCATATTGTTCCTGAACAAGCAGGACCTGCTGGCGGAGAAAGTTAAGGCTGGCAAATCAAAGATTGAAGATTACTTCCCTGAGTATGCTGATTACGTAACGGATTGTTAGTAATTCTTCTTCCTTTCAAATCAGATTTGCTATTTCACATCTCTGTGATTTTTTCGTTAGGAGCGCTTTTTTTAATCCTTCGCAGATATTGTTTATACGACTTGCTGATGTGTTAATAATCAAATTGTCTTAGGATTAAATAATGCTAACTCACAATTAAAATTAATTGACATGTGCCTTGTTTCCCGCGGATCTCCATGATATTTCATTAAAGACCAATATAATTTTATTTCTTTGGCGTAACATTTAAAAAGAGTTTATTAAAAATTTGACACAATATTAATAGTGGTCAGTATCCATCTAACTAATAGATCAATATTTGTATAACTATCCAACGATAAGTCAATTAGGTAATAAACATGATCTGCCCGTTATAAATTGAACACGAATGCATTGCACCCAACAGTACAACCCGATGCCAATGAAGATCCTGAAGTTGCCAGAGCCAAGTTCTTCATGAGGGAAGAATTCCAAGTTTGTGATGTTTGGTGGCTCTTCATTAACTGGTCGTGCTGGACTGCTGTTCTTGTACATTATTATCATTAATTTCCACCATTTAGGCTGGAGAAATCTTTTAATTTTTGTGACTTAACATCCATTCCAACTTAACATTCCATTATTTCAATCATAATATTGATGCTACTATAAATTAATGTGTGATTACAAGTTTGTTGGTTGGCTGGCTGGCTGGCTGGTTGGCTGGCTGGTTGGGTGGTTGGTTGTTTGGTTGGTTGGTTGGTTTATTGGTTGGCTAGCTGGCTGGCTGGTTGGTTGATTGATTGGTTGGCTGGTTTGGGTTGGTTGGTTGGTTAAGGCTTTTTAATTATATATTTTTGATTAAATATATTTTTGTAATTAATTTGTATGAAAAAATTTTTCAGAAATTAGCCCAATCCGACGGTCGGCACTATTGTTATCCTCACTTCACGTGTGCAGTTGATACGGAGAACATTCGACGAGTGTTTAATGACTGTCGAGATATCATTCAACGCATGCACTTACGCCAATACGAACTTCTTTGAGCTGTTTGTTTCTTTGATCAACCATTGGCTTGTTCATACGTTTGTTCGTTCGTGCAGTTCATTCATTCATTTGTTTATAACGTTGTACTTAAATGTATGTTTGTGTGTGGTAAAATATCTGTTCTGATTTTAAATGTTTCATTGTCGCTGGTTGTTTGTTTCGCGTTTGCCGTTTTATTTTGGTCGCTCCACGTTCACCAACGTTCACATTTTTTATTCATCATTTCGGTTGTTCACTGCTCGCTCATTCGTTAGCATATTGGCAAGCTGTTAATTTAATTAGTGCATTTGTTTTCAGAGTAACTTGTTGTCTTTTTAAAGGTTTAGGACGCAGACTCGCACTTGCTTACACGTGCTTTTGCTGCAAACAACCTTTCCGTTATTTCCTTATGTTAATTAAGTTTTGTTTTATTTTGTTTACACAATTCTGTAAATCAGTTTTTCGTCATAAATACTTACTTGATTGGATTAAATGTAATACGATGTCACGTTAGCTGGATGTTTCTACAAGTTGTTTTTATTGTTGTTTTTTTATTATTGTTTTTTTTTTGTTTTTTTTAATTATTGTTTTTATTGTGAGCTTTACTTCAGTTTCAAATTTATTCATTTATAAGTATATCAAAGTGATGGTGATGATGGTAAGATGATAATGATGATGATGATGGAAGGGGTTATGATGGTGATGAATGGAAAGTTTATTGATGGCAAAGTTGATAATGACAATGCGGATGATAATGATGCATAATGTTTTTGATGGTCATCTAATTACATGTTTCGTCATCATTAAATTTGTCGTTTAATCTTATTTACTGGCTAGTTTTAAATATAATTTTAGTTGATACTTCCTTATTCTTATGAATGCAGTTTAGTTTCTTAATCAGCTTTTAATAAATTAAAGATTGTTATTTAATTACTTTCATTAACTTGAAAGGGTAGGTTGTCAGCCATCGATTAAAACAATGTGTTAGGTTGCCGGATTAATATTTTTGTAATGGTAAAAAAAACAATCAGTCTTACAACAATAATATGAACGGCTAAAGTAGGTAGATGTATTCAAATTTAAGTGACTGATCCATTGATCAAATACTGGCGTCAAGCATTTTTCAACTTTTTGAAGTAACTTCTGGTACTTTCGTTTTTCTGTTTCAAAGTTTAGTAATATCTTTCATCAAAAAATAAACAGAAATAGAAACTGCAACAAATTTTTAGTAATGATATAAAACAACTATTAATAATTTTTGCCTTCCATCTATCTATCAGTGGTTTGTTTTCGTTTTAAAATCTAATTGTCATTCATTGGTCTATCTTTTCTAAATAATTTGTTCTCATCATTGAACTTCTCCAAATAAAAATCACTTACATCTTGTTCCATTCATCAGTCGTCCCTATTATTTTCCTCAAGGTTTCCATATTTCCTCGATGATTGTCCAATCGATCGATATTTTATTAGAAACTTTTTCAAAGATGTATGAAGTAAAACTGCTGTGATACGCTTGTTGAACGAAATAAAAAACTGCAAATATGTTGAAGTCGTTAGCTTTCTATTCTAATGGTAATGATAAAAACGTATGTGACGATCTTTATGGTGGCCACATAATTTGTTGGTAGGATTAAAAATTACGATATTGCAAAGGAACCGTTGAGGTCAGCGGTCTAGCACGGTCAATAATTTGACTCTCCCTGCAAGTTATTCTATAAAAAAAGTTGGTTAATTTGGTGCAATGAGGAATCCGTTTTAAACTACGTATTTGAAGGCGTCCCATCCTACCAGCAAATTTGTTTCACGGACGTGGGTAATAGTTTTAACTTATGTGCGGCTCTCAATTTATTTTACATCTCAATTTGCGCCACATAAACTTCGTAAATTGAGAATTTGCATGAGCTAAACGAATTTGGCAACGATGTTGGTTACGATGATTAGGCAATTAACGAAATAAGCTAGAATAAAAGTTAATATTTGTTAGACGAATAAATTAAAATCAATATTATTTTCTTATATGTTATTGATTTACATGTCGTTTATGTACCATATATTTTTAAGCAAATTTGTCCTCACTGTTGTTTTTCTGTTTCTCGTTCAGTTACACAAACACACACACACACATATATAAATATAGTTTGTAAGCGTGTAAGTATATATCTATATAAACATGTAATATATGGCTTTAGATGAAGACAAAAAAATGTTTAATTAGCATTTGCTGTATGTTTTTTATCGTTAAAACTTCTTTTTTTTAACGAAATTAATAATTTTATCACCATATATGATTATGATTATTATTATTATTATTGTCGTTGTTGTTGTTGTTGATATAATTATTAAATTTGTTTTTGCACTAGCCGGCTCCTTATCGATCCTGTAATGTTGTTGTGTGTCATTTGTAATTACAAACTATTTGAAATAAATTAAAATGTGACTTGAGTTCTGCATACTCTTTCTGTCGTTGTAAGGATGAACTTTCAAGCGAACTATAAGAAAACGTTTGCTGTTCGTTGCGCGGTTTTTAAAGACGTACATGATGATGAATGTGTTAGAGGCCTGGTAACAATGCATGCGGTCATTCTTTCTTTCCAACAATAAGTTGTTTTTAAATCATTGTCAATTAATTTATTAAAATGTTATTTTGATGTTAATAAACTAATTAAAAGATGGCTTCCTCATTTTAAAATACATTTCATTTTAAATACAATGAAATAAGCATTTTAAATTACTTTCCTACATCATGTTTTTGTTTATCACCTTCGTTAATATTTCTACCAGAATCCATTTTTATTCTCATCATCGTCTTCATCATCGTCGTCTTCATCATTATCGTCTTCATCATCGTCGTCTTCATCACCATCGTCTTCGTCATCGTCGTCTTCATCATCATTGAAATAATTTTTACCTATTTAAAAATCACACTAGAAATTTTAGCGGGACTAAACGACTGAGTGTGTTTGTATAAACCGTGGACGCACCTATACGACGCTTATAATGTTACGTAGTAGTGTACGCTAACACGTGCATACACATTCACCCATACATACAACACACGCGTATATTTATAACTGAAAACTATTCATACAAATATTGAATTATTTATTTTTATTTATTTAATGTGTTTCTTATCTTATAAATTAAGCTGATTTAGATATGATCGTATATATATATATATATATATATATAATATATATATTTTATTAAATAATTAATTAGCAATGGCTTGTACGCACTAGACTGATCTGGAACACCTTAAGTAAATTTAGTTCTTTCAACGCTTTGGCTAAGTTGTGTTATTGAGTTGGTAGATAGCGTTGGTATGATTGCGTGTGTTTTGTATGTTGTATACACACACACATACATATATATATATATATATATATATATATATATATATATATAGGTATATATATATCGCATGATTATATGTATGCATGTGTTTGGTTGATGGTTTATAATTTATAATTTTTGTCTTTTTCTAATGCGTTAGATAATTTCCTCTTAAAACGTCCTCAGCTCAATAGTCTTTAAAATATTCTCCACATTTAGAAAATTTTCTTTTTTAATAAATCTTCTGAATAGCCTCGAAATGTTTCGCCACAATTCATTAACCTGCGTGGATCGCTTCACAGTCACGTGCTCTGATGGCTTTGGGTCAGTTCGTTTGTTACGATCAACCTGGTTTCTAATAAATTTTCATTTTAATTTCAACAAGTCAAGCTGTTTTTCTGGTGTATCCGCCACCGTTGTTATAACTTCTTGTCCACATCTGGTAAAACCTGGCCGGATCTAGCAGGTTACCCATCCAACGATCCAACCACGTCTCCTTGTCACTTCTGTTTTCTTCGGCGAGTCTTCTCAGAAACATAAGATACACAAGAGTTCTCTATCTTCATGCTTTTTCAATTGAATGTATTTCTCGAAGTTCAATAACATAGCTTATTCATTTAAAGTTTGGATCATATATATAAAATATAATATACGATAATATAATATAATGACACCTGTGTAAGACTCATAAAGAGTTTGTACCTCGCGAATTTTTGATGTTTGCATGGGAAATAACTTACTGTGTCGTTTGAAACTTAAGGAAACTTTTTGCTTACTCAATGTTTCATTTGGTTATTTTAATTTGCATAAATAATTTTAAAGTAGAAATATAATGTTTATGGAGCATGTAAAATAATTGCAACTATAAAAATTTATTTTTTAAAATTTAAATTAATGTTTGTTTTTTTAATAATTTTATTGTTTATTTCAGTTTAATAAACATCATCCTATGATTAGCTTTTGCATTTGAATATCTAAATTTTTTTGTAATTTTTACTTTCATACTATGAAATAACTTTTCAATAACTTGTTAGAAATATAAACGTTAATTTCAAATTGAAATAATTGAGTCCTTAACGTTTTGAACAGTTTGATAACTTAATACGTACATTGTACGTATTAAGTTATTTTGTATATATACATATACAAAAGGCTGCGTAGTAGAGGAACAAGTATATACGATGACATTTTTTAGAATGTAGTAAAACGTTAATAAAATGAGAGAATAACCATCTCGATCAAGTCGATGACATTCTTAATAATTTATCGTGCTTATGACATGAAAACAACTATACGTATATCTAACTCTGCGTGCCGCTAACAACACGGCACGGTGCTGATGTTGTCTTACAGTAGAATATTTGCGTTAGACCGAGCGGAATGTAGATTTATTTAAAATCATCTTTGTTTTTAATTAAAGTTTAACTATTACATATTGTACAAACGTTCTTTTTTAATTTTCAACCACATATTGCACGCTGGTAGGGTGACGATTAACCAAATTTTCATCTTTACTATCGATGAATTAATTATGAAGTTGCATTTGAATTGAGAGAATGAACTGAAGTGGTGGTACGCTTGTTAGGACTACTGGTTTGTATCTTCTCTTCACAATTTATAGAAACGCTTTCCGCATTTTTCGCCACAATACCACGCCAATCATCAAATTCGTGATCGTTATCATGGTTGTTTGTTATCATTTGTCAACATTAATTATGGTCATTTTTTCAGTTAAATAAAACATTTAATAAATAAAATAATTTATTTGCTACAACTATTACGTCTGAAGTATTTACTTTTTATATAAATTAAAGACTGCTGTCTAATTTCACATCAGATCGTTTGACATTGCTTATAGTTTAAAAGATATTGTAACATGCTGCAGTAGGACTGATGTTGTAAGCTACAATATCGACCCTCGGCATGGTCGGATAATCGAGCACATTGAAGAAATAAATGTACTTGTTTTAATCAGCACCGATACCATAGCTATATCACGTAAGTATTTACACAGTATATTTTATATTTAATCTAAAAAAGCTGTTTGGAGACTGCATAAATTTTAATGTAAAGTTTCTTTCAGGTCAATACTGCTATGAATTACAAATTAAAATGTATTGTTTATTTATTTATTCATTGGTATTGATAACTAATAATTTTTATCTCTTTATAGGTTGACCTGGGATCAGAATATGGTCCCGGATCAACATTGTGCTGGTGCAGGTTGGCCTATAAACGTTATCGCATGTTTACGATCAATATTTTTAACTTTGATAATTTACGATTTTTGACTAAATAAATAAATAAACACACATACATAGAATTTTTTGGAAATAGTTCAGTTTATTGAAAATAGAATTATTATCCAAGTTCATCAAGAAAATTTTATAAAACTGTTGTTATCCAAATTCATCTTGCAGATAGGCCTTATTTTGATTTTTTTAAAATCATCTTCAGTGCAGATTTGGTTTATATAGTTTCTTTAAACAAAGCAAAGTTAGTTCTTCAGCAAAGTGAGTTACTTAGTTGAATGATTATACTATTACCAACTTGACGCCTTGATACTAACTTCAAAAACAATGAAGAACAAAGAAATGAAAACAACACAGATGAAGAGTCGACACTAACTAATAATTCTATTTTCAATAAATTAAACAATTTCCAAAAAATTCTAGTACAGAAAATTGACAAGACAAACTTTAAATTGATTAATTCCAACAATTCGTTAGAATTCATACACACATATATGTATATATATATATATATATATATATATATATATATATATATATATATATATATATGTGTGTGTGTGTGTGTGTGCAATTATTGATGAATATATATATATATATATATATATATATATATATATATATATATATAATGATATGCATATCCAGATATTTTTCATGCACGCATATATCACGTATGTAGCATGCACTTGCAAATGAAGCATATTATAAGACGTGACCGGTTCAAATTAGAAGCAACAACTTGCTCCCTTTTCACTAATTTTGCGGAAAAATACAAAACCGATAAAATATATCTATATTATCATTGTGTGTACATATAAATGAATATTTATATGCATTTCTATAATACTTATATGTTAGAAAGATGTATGTGTGTGTGTAACTACATTTTGCTTCATTAGGTTCAGCTTAACCATTTTTTGTTTGAATTCATATGACCGCGTAGTACAACATGAACATCCAATAAACTTTATACAGTGTGCTATTAATTAAAATTTAAAAAAAGTTTTACGTTTCAAACATAATTACAAACAACAATACGAGACCAATAAGCGCAGGCATCGTGCCCATATAGCTGTACCCTACCCATATCTTCAGCTGTTTCACAATTATTTAACTAGTAGTTTTATTTCCAGTTCAGGTAGTTTCTCTCGTAGAAACAAGCTGGTTAAACCAAACGTTATCTCGCCAGAGAATGAGGTTCCACTACTTCACCAAGATGGCTTTTCCATCCATACTTCACCAAGGTGGCCGTTCCATATATCTACTATTAGAAGCAACATTTTTTATTGCCATATTTTTTTTATATATAAGTTATTTAAGTTTGTTGGATCTAGTTTTTTTTTAATATTCTTTAAACATACTGTTTTTGCATCTGAAATATTTCAATGTCTGCAGATTTTAAAACTTCCGTCGCTCCTCATATGTAAGTTCTTATCAATTTTCTTGGGCTTTTCTGTTTTTTTTATACTTTTTAAACCTTTTCACCATACTTTGGTGGAATATTCCACCTGACTTCGTATAAAGCTCTTGCATGACATTACTTTGATCCATTTGTCGAAAATACCTTTTTAAGATGACAGGCATGCTGTAGGCTTTATAAACTTTTCCGATATGAGTTCCACGAAATTTAGTTTTCTATCTATACTATAATACTGCCTAATCTTTTGTACATTTCACATGACTAATTAATTCGTTCGCCATTTTATAATCATAACTTGTAGCTTGATGTTTATGAAGAGTAAGTTCGTTACATTTACGTGTATTCAACTTTAATAACCATTTATCTGTCCACTTCTTTAAGCATCAAGTGCATTTTGTAATTTGACAACAAATTCCAAACATTGTATGTGTTTACAACTTTTAGCATTGTTTGCAAATATGTGCTTCGGCAAAACTATCTAATTTCACTGACAAGCTATCGGTGAAAATACAACAACAACAACAACAACACACGTTTAGACGGCATTTTCCCCGAGATCGGGGGTTGCCGTTTGGCTACCTATGATGAAACCGAAATACCCCTCGACGCCATCCACATCTGTCACTCGCCTCAGTATCACGCAACCCCGCTTTCACCCTGTCCTTCTCCACCTGCTCTCTCCATCCCAATCGCGGACGACCCCTTCCTACCACTCCTTCAACCTCGAACTCCAACGCTCGCCTAATCCCGACCCTTTCATCCCTTCTCAACACATGTCCATACCACCGCAATCTCGATCTCCTTATCAATGTCACAATGTCCTCATTCAGTCCCATCATTGACATCAGCTCTGTACTACTCCTCCTATCCTTCACTTTAACCCCACACATCATCCTCACCATAGCTCTTTCAGCCCTCTGCAGTACACTTTCCTCCTCTCTCCTCAACACCCAAGTTTCACCACCATATACCATCGCTGCTCTCACACATGCTTTATATACCCTCCCTTTCATCTTCACTGACCATTTCTTTCCACACAATACCCCACCCAGTTCCCTAAATTTCATCCATCCCACACGAACTCTAGCCGTAACTGCGCTCAAACATCCTCCATCCGCATTCAGCTTATCCCCTAAGTAAACAAAGCTTTCCACTCTTTCAATACCACCACTCAACCCCGTCCTTGCGTCCGTCCTATTAATCACACCATGAACACATTTCTTACATTTGAACGTGCCTTCCACCTTTTTCAGTGCCCCCCTCACACCACTACATCTCTTATGCACCCATTTCTGACATCCTATACACAATACTGAGTTAGCCTTCACTCTCCTATCACATACCCCACAGGGGTCTATTTTACTTATCACTCGCTCCCCACCTTCCCCACTCACCATTACCTTCGTCTTACCAATATTAACTTTTAAAATAATAAATCGGTGAAAATAATAAATAACTATATTAAGACACTACATTGGAGCACACTGCTTGGGATACAATGCCAGAGAATTTATCATTAACTCTTGCTCTGCATAAACTTAGAGCTCTATTTATTAAAAAGAATTGAACTTTAGACCTTCATTAAAAAGGCAATATACCATGAATATATATATATATATATATATATATATATATATATATATATATCCATGAACGACAGTTAGAATTTTTTAATTTAACAAATGGTAGAACAACTGTAGGCAAATGAAACCGAATTTTTTTATCAGAGAAAATTTGAATTTAGAAAGCACAAGATTACCGTGGTCAGACGATTATAGTCGATTACGGTATTCTATTTTGATAAAAACTGGTTGAATTTGTTCCTTCAGATGAATTAGCAAACAATTTTCATCAGAAAAAATAATTGGTGTGCTTTACCTTTAGTATAAGGAGCAATCGTGGAATCAAATCCCAATATGCTGTAACAAGCTTCCACAAGGTTAATGAAACTTACTTTTCACACTGAATTATAAAGCCATTTATGCAGCTTTTTGTGGAAAGTTGATGGTGGTAATAGGCGTTGACAGCATAGAACCAAAAAAATTAAAAAAACTTCGAGAAATATTTAGAATAAAGTAGTGAACTTCTTGGAGAAAGATAAAATCAAGTAACTTCTTAACGGATTAACAAATATTTTGTAGATAAATTGTTGCATTTGTTGATAATTTTCATTTTCCGCTGAGTAAACTCCGTTAAAAGCACAAAAATCGACATTCAACTGTTAGTATTCGTCAAAAACAAAGTCGGCATAATGGTTGTTATTTGAAAAAGTCACAAAGCATGAGATCAAAAATTTCATTTGAATGGCAAAATGTCAACAAAAAATAAATTTGATCATCGTCATGGTGCAGAATTGTTAAATAAAAGAAAAGGTATCAATGCTTTAGAGAAATTCAAGTGACAACATTCCAAATGAAAACAGACAAAATATGGAAGCAAATGATCGTTTATAGCAAAATCCATAGCTTGACCGTGTTTGTGGACAAGAATAAATATTTTAAATTAATTAAATTACGCTCGTGACTTTATAACTTTATATCCAAGCTTTTAAGTTTATGAAACTGTGACTAACTCGTTGAAAAAACAAGAATATAGAATGTAACAATTCCGAAAGTAAATATGTACAGGCAAATTAATTGCAACATAACTCAATTCATTTTATAGCAACGAAGTACACATTCGCATAACTTTAAAAAATATCACAGAGTGAATATATTTATAGATCTTTAACTTTTCTGGACCAATCATCATCTAACAGCTTGTGACATGTGCAAGGGATTCAACATGAGTTCGAACGTGGCTCCCTTTAGGTTGGCTCCTCTCAAATTGGCCTCCTGCAAGTCACAACCACTAAGATTACAATTTTCAAGATCGGTCCCGGCTAAAACAGCACCTGCAGATGTCATTTGTATGTTCATTATAGGCTGTCGTTATGCCCACAATAAAAAATTTAGTTAGGTTAAGGTTAAATTTAACAAATTCCCTCCATAAATGTTGACTGAAAACTGTTTCAACTGTTTCAGCCTCCTCCCCCCGTTACAACGACATACGAAAAAATTTTATTAAAAAACAATTTTTAATAGAAAAACTGTAAACAAAATAAGAAAAAAGGTTTATAAAAAATTTCCGTCTATACTGCTGGTTACCGTGAACGAGTAGTAATGCAGTTCGATTAATTCAAAGATAAATAAATCTTTTTTTCAATGAGTAAAAAATTTGAAATATCTGATTGAGAAATAATCGTTTAATGAGTGTTTTAACTTGATGAACGGAGAAATGTAGAATAAAAATGACATAGAAAAAATTGATGGTAAACTTCTCCAGTAAAACTAAGAATGTTGGTCTTTGTTGCCAAAAACTGAGCCAAGAAATGTAGATGCATAACAATTCCGCCAGTAACATAAATATCAGGTCAGCCAACAATATACGTCACAACAAGCGTTACACTGTTTTGCATAATATAGGCGTATGTAATACATATACATGCTATAATAAATATTAATGCATCAGTGTTAGCTTTTATTTAGTAAGTACGTGAACTTCAAGAAAAATAAATTATCTTCTCTGAAAAGTTCAGCCAACCCCTCAAATCACAGTTCTGCAGGTTGGCGTTCTTTAGGTTGGCTACTCTTAAATTGATCCCAGCCATCCTACTTCCCTCCAGATTCACTCCTTTCATATTTGCTCCCTCCATACTCGTGTGGCTGCCTGCGAGATGATACAATTTGTCAATCAATCAATCCAACAATCAATCTAACAATAACCAAATATTATTATATATATATATTTATATATATAATATATAAATGAATACTTAACCAAAAACTTTTCAATTTATTGACAAACATTTTTTCTTCTTTCTGCCACAAACATGAACAATGATAAATAAACAAAATATGAACAATAATAAAAAAACAAAACATAAACAATGACAAATAAACAGTTAACAAAAACACAAAGGAAAAAACGAACCAGCGGGATCTTCGAAGTTGCAGCCCTTCATGGATGCAGACTCCAAATTGACACAGAGCATCCGAACGGCCAGCACCGTGGCCTGGTCCATCTTCACACCTGTCATATCCGCTCCTGCATTAATAATGGCGTCAATATTCATTAGCAATTCCTCTAATAAATAATTTTATAAGTTATATTTAAAACTAAATGGCCTTATGAGGTAACATCAGTTATAAACTGCGCAGTTCAATTAATGACAAAATAAGATCTTATGCCTTGAAGGTAGAAGAGGGAAGAACTGACTGCATGATATTATTAAGTTCTGCTAAGAATAATTATTGGTGTTTTCAATAGTTTCAACAAATGCAATTACAATTTTTTATAAGAATAACACAATTTACCATAAAAGTGAAAAGCTACCAACTCTCAAAATTACAATTGGATAGATTAGTCATGCTCAGATCAGCTTTCTTCAAATTGGCGTACTTGAAGTTTATGTGGCGTAGATCGAGTTTGGATAAGTCACAACCTGCACGGGATGGAATGCTTTCATCACAAAATAGTAATAATAAATAATATTGAGTTTTTTTTAAATAATTAATAAAAAATGATTATGTTGTACTTTAGTTAATGATAAACATTTGTAGTTCGTTAATGCCTAATGTTAATCATTTTTTTATCTTCGTCTTATTAGCATGGAAGTCAATTAGAAGCATTTGCTCCTCAATGTCAAACAAATTCTGAAAATAATATGAGGTGGTGGAGTGCCTGCCTAAGTTGTAAATCCAATTTAATTAAAATTTGCAACGCAGGAGAAGCTTATTCCTACACGTGGCAACACACTTGACATGACGTTCCTGTAACGTTTTCTATTAATTATATCATACATCCGAAGCCTAAAAATGTGCTGGAGTTCTCGCCTGGCGGCTTTCCAACTTGGTCGCTGTTAAAATAACTGAAAAAACTGTATAAGGAAAGTACAACATACTCCAACTCCAAGATTCTTACATCTTATTTAAACATGACATATATAAGTGGAACCATAGAAATGAATAGGAATGGAAACAGAAGCATACGTGGTAGCAGCAGGACAGCTTAATGGGTAAGAGCACATGTTCATGTTATATATGCGTGCATTCTGTGTGTGTGTGTGCCTGTGTGTGTATGTGTGTGTTGCTGTAAGCGTGTCGTTGACGCATGTGAGGTGTTGAAATAAAAGAGAATACACTTTAAAACATTGAACGTTTTAAAAGGCACAGGCAAGCCCAAGCAGTATACATACAAACCTTCCAAATTGATTCCCTGACATCTCAGCTCCCAACTTGAAGGCGTGCCAATAATCATCTTCAGGAACTCTCTTCAATTTCAAACATTTACAACTTAATTAGTACAAACCATTGAAATAATTCAACTAATTTAACGAACAAATTAAAAAACTTCCACACAAATAGCAGAAAAAAATGGACATAAAAATGGATGGAACACCAAATTCAACAGATTATCAACAAATTTTTTACAACATCAACACATTCAGAGAATGTTTAATTTAAAAAAATATCTGGACACGAATTTGAACTTCAAAAAAACAGAAATTTTTTAATTTGCATGGTAACTAATACTTTTACCTTTCTTTTTTACAATATTTATAATCTCAAAGAAAATGCACGAACCGGCACATTTGTCTCAACCAACTATGCTACAATTTCTTTAGCATAATGTCCTAGTGATACTTTTTTAATATGAATATCTACCAGCTCAAGTGTCTAATGTCTAGTGGTGAGTTACTCCAATGTCTAATGGTCTATTGATTGTCTACCGGTGAGACACTCTAAATGTCTACTGCCTACAGATGAGTTGCTCCAATGTCTGATGTCTACTGAAGTTACTTCAAATTGATCCCACAGTCAACAAAATCGGGACTGAAACTTAAACCTGGAAACTTCAGCATCGCAACTCACATGGAAGCACTACACTACCCTTTCACAAACTAGTGAGAAAAATAATTTTCGAAAAAAGATAGATGCATCTCATTCACTTGCAACGAATCTCATTGATGGTAGAAATAATTAAAAGTTTGGAATTTGCAAACCTCCTGGTAAAAGGCTGCTCTGTGAACTTCTCCTCTAAATTTTCATTTTCAAGTCTCTTTGTTAAGATGTCAACGACACCAACAACACCAAAGAACCTGGCTTCTGAAAGGACGCCTCTGCAAGGATCATCATCATTATCATCGTCATCATCATTGTCATCGTCATCATCGTTAAGAGAGCAACCATCATAATCAATTGAATCAATATTAGAAGTCATCACTGCATTCAATTATTTCAATTATTCATTTAAATGTTTTAAATGAGATAATTACAAAACTGAATGAACATTTCTTGTAAATTAAATCTATACATAAATAATAATTTAATTCATAGGATAAATTAACACAATTAAAAAACTGTAAATAAATTTTCGTAACTATTTCTAAAAATAAAATGACAAAAAAGAAAATTAATAGATTAAGAAATGAGAAGAAGGCATATAATGAATGAATGAATGACTTGTAATCGATCCCACTGTTGATGAACAACTCTCCTGTTCGAAGGTAGTTGAGGATTGGTTCAAAGTAGTGGGGACTTCTGTCAATCAAGATGGCGCCATTGTTGTCCGTTGTGTGACTCCAACTGGAATCTCCATCAAACATCCTGGCCAGCATGCTGTCAGGGTTCTGTGCAATTTATTTTTACATTTCATACTTTTTTTTAGATTATACATATTAATGTTAATTTTCATTTTTTATTTTTTTATTTAAAGGTTTCTCTCTCTCTCTTTTGCATTTGCTTCAGAGGTTTCAACGACAAACACACACAGCGTATAATAGCAAGACCAGGCGCCTTTAACCATTGAGCCATCACGCCACCCATTATATAAATTATATATATTTATATTTATCTATAAAAAAATTAAGATAATCAGTGCTGTATTTCCTATTTTTCAAGTATATATAAAAATTAAAAAAGAAAAATCTATAAACTATTAAATTAATATTCAACACAGTAGGAACTTGAAACAATTGACATAAAATCGACAAAATTTATATTCAAACTATTCATTCAAATTTTAATTGTGTTAAAAATTTATTAATTACAAGTTGAAATTCCAAAACAATGTAGATACTTTTATAAGATAAGGTAGCACTTGTAGGATAGTACTTAAAGGATAGTACATAGAAAAAAAAAAAATTAATGCAAACACTGGCAACTAGTGTCATTCTCGTAGTTGTGAAGTATTTTCCACCAACATTCAAGGTCACCCAGTTGTTTAGCGACGATAATGAACTAGACATTATGGAATTTGTTTTTGTTGTCGTGGGTGCCGTAGTCTCAGTTGAGTTGCTGTCGTGTGTAGAAACTAACTTAATGGCAGCAATTCCAACATCTGGCAAGGAATTTAACCTTAAATAAATTTAATTAACTATTAAATCCACATTTAATCATTAACTGTTAACTTATTTGAACACAGGAGACTCTAGAAAACAACCTAGTTTTTATTTCTGATGTTCAATATTTTGTTACAATATTTTTAATAATTTATAAATTAGATTTTTCGGTAAAACGTGAGATAAGTACTCCTAAGGTATCCTCCATGTTTACAAACAATCATAATGTATTTTAATAAATTAACTCCACCCATTTTGAATTATCTAGCGCTCTTGATTATTTATTTATATCAAATTGAAAATAATTTAATTAAGTAAGTTTTTTAGATCATTACTTGTCAAATAGTTGAAATAGTGAACATTAAATAAAAAAAAGTTAAAAATAAATATGAGTAAATTTTACTTAAAAATAGAACTTCAGGTTAACTATTATTTATTATTCATAAAACCTTTGGCGGTGTGCCAAACATAAAATAAAATGGATGAATGGCACATGTAATTACCACATGTCATCATATCTTGATGAATTTCTGTGGCAACGCAGTGTCAGGAACCGTGACGATTGGTTCCAGAAAGCTTTAGAGCTTACCCGTACATACTATCCTGTATAAATACTGTTTAAGTTTAACAATATTTTGTTTTTTTTTACATCGTTTAAATACATTAATTTTTTTTCAAATAAATTTTTAAGATCATTTTTAGTTTTGTACATCATGTAAATACTTTAATTTTAACAAAATCAAATAAATTCATATAAAATCAAAAACATTATCATCTTGTTTTTGTGTGAATTTTAATTATTTGTCTAAACCGTGAGTATTTAACGTTCGTGAGTCGACCGTTTAAATTTGAATTAAAAACATTGATTATTTTTAAGTAAGAATTAACTTGTATCAAATTACTTACCTAAGGATTAATCTGTATTGAATTATTTCCAATTTGATATAAATAAATAATTAAGAGCTAGACAATTCAAAATGGGCGGAGTCAATTTATTATAAGTACACCATGTTTGTTATGATAGGATTACTAGTAGGAGTAATAGTAGAAATCTCCGATTTTACCCCATTATTAAATATAATAAAAAAAATCAAAATTAAATAAATGACATATTAAAAGTATTTTTATTAACTTAATATGTTTTAATATTACTAAAAATTTCAATGTCATTTTTTTTCACTTCAAAATAAAAATTTTAATAATAATAATAAAATAAAGATTGGCCATTAGAATAGCATTAGAATTAGACATGTAGGAATAGATTAGGCATAATCCTAGGACAGTGCCTGCAATTGAATTGAAAACAATTTATTTACATTTACACTCAATTAAGTTGTAATTTCTATAAAAATGTGATAGGATTAGGTTAGAAGGTTTCTTTTTAGATTACAATTATGTGTCTAAAACTATTTTCACAATTTTAATCTTGTGCACTCACTCATTCATACTTATCTCTCACGTAGCAAGCACTGTTCTAGGATTTTGCCTTAGATTAGCATTAGTTTAGTAGTTAGACCAGTTTTAGTTAGTGTGTCTGTGTGTACTAGTAGAACTAATTACTAAGTAGAAGAGATTGCCTATTTATTTATTTAGTTTAGTTAGATTTAGGTTCATAATTTGTTATGTGATCCACCAATCTGATCAGTGCTGAAACCACTTTTTATTCATAAATTATTATAAATAAATTAATAACAATTGAAATAAAATAAATTAATTATCATAAATTAAAGTAATTAATAATTAACACAATTAACATTTTATTTATTTTTGCACAATCCTACAACACGAAAAGTAAACCAACAATTTGATCAATTGAGGGTAAAACGATGTTACAAAGAGAACAAATATGGTAACTAGTTTAAAAAACATTTTTGGTTTAAATTGTTTATTTTAAGAGTTTAAATACTGAGAAGTTTGACTATAAAAAATTATATATTTAAAAAAATAACAAACATTAAACTTTTTTAAACATTTCACATTTCGAAATGTTAAGATTAATAGAAAAATTAAATTCAACGTATAAATTTTTTTTCAATTTCAATAAAATTTTTTTTATTCAAAATTTCAGTTATAATATAAATTTATTAATATACAAAAAATAAGTTTTAATTATGTCATTAAAGAAAAAGTTAAAACGTTTTTAGTCTGCCATAACTTTTAGTTTTTTTTTCATTTGTAATATAACCACGTCAAACTTCAGTCACACCGCTCATCCTCGTGTTGGACTCGCCTGACTTCTTGGAAGATTGTTGTCAAAGATGGCCGATGATGATTCCAGTGCGATGATGGATTATTCGCATGAGGTTTTTTTTATTTTGGGCATAAGTGTACATTCCGAACTACAACGTATGTTTACATTCACTACCTCTAATAGAGAGTGAAATAAGCTCCTCCTACTGAAATTCGAAAAGTGCACTGAGATTAAAATAGATGCATGCGCTTTTACCTTTTATATGTTTTTATTATAATATTATTGATGTGTTTATATGTGTCAGGGTTAGGGGCAGGGTTAAGTTAGGTTGTCGTGAAAAAATAATATTGAAAATTAATTGATAATAGAAGAAATGGTAAAATGAAGTATAATAAAATTGTTTGTTTTATATGTTTCTTGTTACGATGATGGTGATGTCGTGTCGGAGGCAGATGATGTTACTCAACGATGTCGGCATACCTTTTAATGTAACCTTATTAAAACAACCAGGCCCGCCGACAGAAATTTCGGGCCCTAGGCTGGACTGTGACGGGCCCCCGATGACCGCGGAAGATAAACCTCTAAAGTATCTTATTTTAGGTTACATGACATTCAAAAAAATTCACATATCATATACGTATACTACTTGTACCTTAATATTTATAATTTAAGACTGACCGATATAGCCAACAAAAACAAAGTATAGTTTTATTCAGTTTTTATTTGAAAAAAAAAACATTAAAGTTTACTTTTTAAATTAAATATCCAAATGTAACAAATCGGTATTTATTGTTTTAGAAACAAACTCTCCTTGATTTGGCTAAGGCAAAATTGTTAATAACGTCATCAAAATTCAATAACTTTGCCAAATCATGTTCAATCGCCAAAGTCGCAAGACCGTTCAATTGTTCTTGTTTCATAGTTGACCGCTGCACACTTTTTATTTGCTTCAGCTTGCTGAATGTCCTTTCAGCTTCTGCTACAGTTACAGGAATTGTACAAAAGATTCGTAAGGCAATAGCAATATTTGGAAATATAGATTCCAATTTCAACTGATAAATTTTATTCAGCAGTTTTATGGGATGAAGATTTTCACTCTGTATGGTATCCAAATAAATTGATTTTAGACATTTCACTTCATTAATTAAGTCACTGCTGACATCTTTGTCATATTCTTTGCAGAAATTAGAACATTTCTTTTCCAGATCACTTTCTCCAAGTTCTGTAAATAACCACAAAAAATTGAAAGAATTGTTAATATTTCTAGCCATATGGAAACGCTCTGTTAAACCAGATATTATACTATCGATAAGTTTATAGAAAACGTTCACTTTAAAATCACCATCCACTTCATGTTGTGCACTTTCTTCTGGCATATGTTGATTTTCATCATAAAAACGTTTTCGTCGTTTTTGGCGTTTTTCTGGAAGTTCTGTTTCACATGAAATATCCGACGACATAGTTTCTGCTGTTATTTTGGCTTCTGCTAGCAATAAGTCCCATTTTTCACATAGATCCTTCAGTTCCCCAAGAAGAATGTCGATGTTTTCTACTTCTACATCCAATTTGGCTTCTCTGGCTTGAATAATTTTGTTTCGATTGTTTATAGCAACTAAAACTTTGAGCCATATTGTAGCCATTAAAACACACTTGAATGATTCCATATAACGCTCAATTCCTTGCAATTCAGTCTTACTTTCTGATGACAAATTTAATTCTTTACATTTAATAATAGCATATTTGATAATTGGCAGGTGCTTCGCAATCGGTTTCACACTTTCCACACGTGCCGACCATCTAGTTTGAGAAAGATTATGCAGTGAGCATCCAGTTAATCTCTGTAGAATTTCCCATCGTTGAGGACTGTACGCAAAGAAATTGTACAACTTTTGAACTATTCCAAAAAAAGTTATAACGTCATTGCAACATTCTGCTGCATGCATACCGCACAAATTTAAACTATGGGCGCCACAATTTGAAAATTTCGTTAGAGGATATGCATGTGCAATGATTGCTTGGGCTCCTTTGAACTTTCCTGCCATATTTGAGCCGTTGTCGTATCTCTGACCTCGACAGTCATCCAGAGAAATTTTGTTTTTCTCCAGTTCATATTTGATCATATCTGCAACATCCTGGCCAGTTTTTTTGTTATAATCAACAAATGCAAGAAAACGTTCTTTGACCGAAAATGTTGAGTTGCAGTTTTGTACATATCTCAAAATGAAAGTACTTTGTTCTGTATGAGAACAATCTGGTGTAGCATCTACCATAATTGAAAAATACTTAAACCTTTCTCTCTCTGCCAAAATTTCTTGAATAACTTTTGAGCTGCATGCTTCGATAAAGTCATTTTGAGAATCTGCTGATAAGTAATGAACCTGAAGGCGTTGTCCAAGTTTTTGAGATTTTTGAACTTTAGAAACATGCTCTTGTAAAAACGGATCAAACTGAGCTAACAGTTCTATAATCCCAAGGAAATTTCCATTATCATGGTCATCAATTTTGTTGGAAGAACCTCTGAATGCAAGTCCTCTTTCACCCAAAAATGAAACCACTGCTAAAATTCGTTTAAGCAATTCTTTCCAGTATTTTACTTTTGTAGCAATTTCTTTATCAATCTGAGACTCTATATTCTTTCCAAAGAGAAATCTTCTTTCTGAATCGCGCCACTTTATATAACATTTTTTATGACCGTCACTTTTTTCATGAGCTGGTATTTTATCGTACACTTTACGCCATGTTTTTAGTTTTGACCATCCTTGATCACTTGACAAAATTGATCTGCAAGATACGGAGATACGGCAATTTCACTAAATAATCTACATGGGAAACAAAACAGGGATTCTTTTTCTTTACTCCATACCAACCAATCCCTTTCACAAACATCTCCATTTTGTCTGGACACCTTTAAAATGCACGTCGGAAAAGCTCTTTGTCCATCTCCCGGAAAATTGTCCGGGTGTCTAGGTGGACCGTTTCGAATCACGGTTTCTATAGTCTGTGTGGGTATTGGCCTGGCTGGCAAAGTACCAACGTCAAATCCAAATCTTTCAACAGTTTCTATGTTTACAGAGGCATCATTATATTTTATTATATTTACACTGTCATTATTTTGAGTTTGGATATCGCTATTTCCATTTTCATCCAATCGGTGTGATTCTGAAAATTCTAGCCCTACCGGACAGTCAGGAGACTCAGCCGAATTAGGAAAATTTACGGCTGTCTTTGTTTTGTTTTTTTCTTTAATGATAACGAATTGAAATAACGAACGACTACCGATTTTGTCGTTTTCCAAAGCAGTAGCTTTTTCCATCCGCTTTTGTGAGCCCGATTTATGTTTATATTCCATAATTAATTAAACAATATTAATTTATTAATATTTTATGATTGTTTATTTTAAAAGCAGTTTAAAATAACACTACAATTTTCGCGCAAAAATTTTTCAAACAGAAGTGGCCTGATGTGGGCGTGTTCAAAAATTGGTAAGTAAAGATCATAGATTATAAATAATGAATATAAATGATATATATCTTCAGCAAGATAATATTAGAAAATCATAATTATGTTGTAATACATAAAGTTATGTAGTACATTATGTAGGCTTAAAATTTTGAAAACTAAATTAAGCTAATTTAAATTGTAGTGCGCGACCATTGAATTACATATAGGAATTTTAATTCAATGGTTTGGCGTAAGTTATTTATTCTCTAGTTGTGTGAGTCGTTGGTCGTTCAATTTATTTATTTCAGCATATGATAGTGCTGAGATCAGTGAGGAGTTTTATTATGCGTCTACAATATAAAAAATATTGAAAATGTCATATCAAATATAAGGGCCGTTCACTATTATGTAGCGATCCGTAAGAAGGAGATCTAACTAAGATTTCCTTATGAAGTGTTATAATAGGGGAGGAGGGGTTTTGAAATTTATTACGTAAAATATTTTTTATGTAAAAAAAAATAATTTCTTTTTAAATTTATCAAAAATTTTATTTTTTCATGGAAAACACGTATTTCGTATATTTCAGTGCAGATTTATGGAACAAATTATACTGTGTTATTTCACATTTTCATTTTAATTTTATAAACAGTTTATAATAAACTGCGCTATATAAATATAAATAATTGATTGATTGATTAATAGAAAGGGTTTGTACAGATTATGATTTTATTGCAGAAAATATTTTTGTTACGTAAGAAAGTGTTACTGAGAGAGAAAAAAGCCGTTTTTGTGTTACTTAATACTCGAACGGATACAAAATAAAATAAAACTAAACACTGCAACCTACAGATATTTGAGGTTTAATTTGATTGTAATTTTGATTGAAGTTCAGTTTAAAAAAACTAGACAATAATATCCATTTCATTGCCGTGAAAATATTTTCATGAATTGAGTGACGAGAACAGCTCGGGCCCCTTCAAATCGACAGACCCTTAAAAATCGCCGGGCTCTTCAATATCGCCGGGCTCTTCAATATCGCCGGGCCCCTAAATATCGCCGGGCTCCTGGGCATTTGCCCCCCCCTCTCGGCGGTACTGAAAACAACCACGAGAACACAGAAACGTTGGAAATGGAAATACATTTGACATTTTTGAAACTTTAGAAAAAAAAACTAAAAACTTACGAAAAAATTATTATAATTAAATTAAACCTATTTTAATAAATTGATTTTAATAAATTTTAATATATATATATATATATATATATATATATATATATTGTTATTTTAATCAATATATTACTATGTTAACATATTTAAATACGATATAAACGTTTTTAAAATTTTTCTATTTTTATCTCAATCAACTTCTGCATATTAGTGGGAGGCGCTTTTGTAACTCTCTATTAGAGATAGTGATGTAAACAATCATAAATGTAAACAAATTTTAACATTGTAGTTCGGAATGTAAACTTATGCCTTATTTTGTATTTTTGTATTAATTTAGTTTCTATTTATTTCAAATTTTATTTAATTTGAGAATTTAATGTAATTTAACTGTTTTTAAATAACAAGAAAGAATACTGAGTACTGAATATATTTTTTATTAATTTTATTTTTTTACTTGATTAATAATAATTAAAAAAATTTATATTGTTCATGTGGTATCAATGTCATATCAAGGTGTTGAATGTTGAGTTTGAAGGCAGACCAGCTGATGATTCTGACATTGATGGAATTAAAGTACTCTTGAGGCAAGTTAGTTACATGATATCATAATTATTTATTTATTGGCGTTCATTTCACTTTCAAATTTTATTTAAAATAGCTGTCATCGTCTTCAAACTTTCAATCTCACATTCACCATCGGATCTTCTACTCAACATAGTAATACAAGCAATCGTCAACTTCGCTTTGCCATCGCTCAAAATTTTCGTCAGCTTAAAACAGCAAGCAATATTGCTGGTCGTGCATTCCGACATGCTGCTCCTCACGTTGGGATTTCGCTTCCTCTAAAGATTAGGAACTGTAGCTCTACACAGTCCTTCAAGTCATCATTAAAAACATTTTATTTTGATAGTGCATTTGTTTATAAACGTCTGACAGAGGTTGTTTTTTATTTCGAGGGCACCTCAGTTGCTTGCCAGGGCACTTTATAAGTCATAATTATCATTATCATTTATTCACTTCCTGTTGTGGCTCTTTATAATATAAATATAACTAATTTTCCTATTGGATTTGTTTATGAAAAAATAAATGTGAGTTTTTGATCAATGTCAAATTAGTAAGAATCAGTAAATTTCATTTGTGTTGTCATGGTTGAATTTTGAATATTTAATTTTTTTTTTTCCTGTTGCAGTTGTTTCTCATGGGATCTGTTGACAGTTATGAATTAGCAAAATTATTGATTTCTCAGAACTATGTTGGCTCAGTCCTACATGTTGGTTTGATTCCATTATTTTTTGCGTCAGCTTTAAATGTTAACTCATATTTTTCTCCAAATGTCAGGTTTATATCATTTTAAATTTAATTTATTTGTTGTACAGCAAGTCCTGTCTCAAAGTGATGAAGAGGATGAAGATGATGATGGTGACATGAATGAAGATAGTGCTTTACCAGTTTTTGGATTGTTAACAGTTATCAACTTGACTGAAAAAAATGTGAGATCACTGCTTATTATCATTTTATCTGCACATCATGCAAAAACCTTATTGTTAAACAATTATTTTTTTATGCTTCTTTCTTTTCCAGTCTTCAGATGTCGTCAAAAATTTAAAACTATTTCTTCAAGAAAGATGTAAAGAAAGTTCCTCAGCCAATGTGTATGAGGAATTTGTGTCAATTTTGAATTCAAAGCAAGAGCAGATCGGATTCATAATAAATGAAAGAATCCTCGCTTCTTCTCAATTAGCCGTGCCTAATTTTGAATCACTGTGGTTAGTAGAATGTTCATCAATATGAAAATTTAAAATTTGTGTCAGTAATATTTCGACCCTTTATGTGAGTTATCAAGTTATCATATATCTTGTAATTTTATTTCAATTTGTTTTCAAAGGAAAGATGTGGAGAAGGCGAACAATAAGAACATGAAGTACAACTTCACCAAGTACATCATGCTGACCCGGTCTTCCAAAATGCTGTCCAAGAAGAAAAATCAAACAGAGGAACCACTTGAATTCTTGAATCCCGAAGATCAAATATTTCATGAGGTTGTTTCACTTCAACTGCTAATCACATTTATTTTTTAATCAATTTAATTGTTAATCACATCTGGTTTGAGGATCATAATTCTTTTCTTTTTATTTATAGATTGACAAAATAGTCTTTCATGTTATTAAATTTATGTTGTTACTGGAAAAGTTATGTGTCCTAGATAGATGTATCTATTAAAATGTCAAGTTTATAAAAACTATATTGTTTATTATTAATTCAATTGTGTTCAGCCAGTTTTTATATTCATTTTTCTGGGATTTTACACGCTATGCCTATCAGATGAAATCAAAATATGATTTAATAGTGATCCTAACATATTCCAAACCAACTAACTCATCTTCGTAAAATACAACGAACCTACAGCACAGTTTGTTGAGTTTCAGCTACACTCTAGAGGGCCAGCATGACACGTTGATTGACATGAAGTCATCTGAAATTTTGAACCAGCAGCAAGAACCGTTGAGGACCATCATCGTTTTCGAATCATCAAAAATACCAGCCATAATGAATGAAATGAAAACTTTATGAAATATTATCAACAATTTATTTAAAATTTTAATTTATTGTTTATCTTAACTGATTAATTTGAAAATTTGAACTTGATTTGAGTGTTGGTTATTGGGAGATAAGAAACATTCTTTTATAAATTTATTAAATAGTAAAAATTAAAAAAAGTATAATTATATTTATTGAATTAGAATCTGACAAATGCAATATATGAATGATTGTGCGTGTATGCGCTTGTGTGTGTGGTGTATGTGTGTGTGTGACCATCTTAAATTCGCTTATGTGATAACGTTGACCGGTTGGAGTCAAAGAACAAGAAAGGAAGGAATTGCGAGCTCTGTGTGTAATCTTTATTTTGTTTTTCATCTTCTGACCCAGGCATTCGTTCTTTCAAACAAAGGTGTACGCACAGGTGACTTTAAGCTGGAGCTAGCCTATCGTATATCTTCCATTGTACTCTCTACTGGAAGCAAAAGAAGTAATGACGTCATGCATCCGTTTTAATTGATATAATATAGTCAGCAGGGTTGTAACAAGACTGCTTTTTAAAAACAAGACAAAGACATTGAGAGCTCAAGAAGAGACTTTCGAAGACTAAACAAGAAATTCGAGACAAAAACGAGACCAAGACGTAAAAAATTTTGCATATATATTTATATGCGTAAGTTTGTACATGTATATATTGAACATTTATTTGTGTACACGTAGTGTATGTTAACCAATGAACGTATTTTATATATGCAAAATGATATGAACGTGAAGAGTTACGATTGTAGAGCTTGGGTCATCTGGTTGATGTGACTATCTTGATTATGTTGTAATTATTTTAAAATTATCATTAACACGAAGCAATATATGTTATGTTTAACATATGTGGGCATGCACGCATAGTCACGCGTGTTATTATGTTTTAATGTATTGTTATAACCGTGCTACCGAACGCACTAGATTCTAGCGTATTCTAGAATGTTCTAGTGACTGGAGCATTCTAGAGTAGACTTGAATCGGACCATCTAGAAGAATCTAGAAACGACGCTTGCGAAGAGTATATAAGCGCACGTCACAAGAAGATTAGCGATTAGTGAAATTCGTGACTTTGTAAATTCGTGACTCTGTGATTTTGTGAATAGCGATATTATTTAAAGCGATATTTGATTTGTTTGTTGACGTTGTCATAGCGATAGATTTTGAACAATTTAAAAGTCAATTGTTGCGTTAATTTGAATTTGCTAGAAATAAACGATTAGTTGATTTTTTCTGTAAATAAAGTTTAATAACTAATAACTGTTTGGAGTATTTTATTCAATCGAAGATTTGAACCCGTCGCATCGTAAATCGGTTACGACAGCGAGTATTATAACAGTATGTTTATAGAAGAATTTATTAAAAATAAGTTAAAACTTATATAAGTTGAATATCGTACGTCAATCTATCAATCAAAATGTATAAAAAATAATTTCCTATCTGTGTCTTGTTTTCAAGACGTATCAAGACAGTAAAAAAAACGAGATCAAGAAGACTGACATTGTTTAAAATCATCGAAATCAAAACGGTTAGAGCTCGTCTTTAGACAACATCTCTCGAGACAACATCTCGTCTTGAGACGAGCCAGCCCTGATTGGGAAACCTCGATCTCAGCTGTCGACCGTTTATATAGTGTAATGACGTAATTTAATCCACGTCAACGTTCAGATCAAATATTCTAGGTAAATGGATTTGAATGACCAAACATGCATGATTCAAAATTAAAAAATATCAAAGTGGCCTCACTCTTCCTGCAATAAAGATATTAAAGCACACCATATTGACAATAGAATATACCTGAAGATGAAAATTGATGCACATCTTCGTGAGACGTCACCGATCATGTCACCGATTCCATCTCATTTTAACCTATATTTATAACTGAATCCACTTTTAAATTAATCAGCGATAGAGCATCCCTTATGACGTTGTCTTACAAAAATATAATCTATTACATTGCTAGTCATCCGATGCTGGTTCATTCGCAATAAGTTTTTTGGATTAGATCGCTAGAATTTTATAAGAAGTTTAGTTGATTTTGTTAAAAATTATTTTCTCATAATGGCTTGCGGAGGTTTCATGTGTTCCAGAAATGTCTTGATTCTACTCAATCTTATTTATTTCGTGAGTATCACCATCATCTCATCTGCTAATCACATTGTCCTGTTTTTTTTTTAGTTTTTATTACTTATGTTTTTTTTCATTGTTGGTCCCCTTTGTTCGTTGTATGTAGCAGGGATCAATCAAAAAATCCATTTTAGCGTTAGTCGAGAAAGTACTGATGTAATTTTTTCTGCTACAAATAAGATTTTAGTTCCATTTTATTTTTGAGAAAATAAAATTAATAAATTTTTTTGGTTAATTCCTGTTTATATTGTATTGTATAGGTATTATAAATTATAAAGAAAGGTTTCTATAGTTATTCTTATAGTCATAGAAAATTATCTCAATCAGGCGATATTTTTACACAATGAGTAAGCAGTAAGGAGTACATGAAATAAAATAAATTATGTTATTTGAAAATTTATTTTCAGAAATAAATAAAGTTTTTAGAAATTTTTATTTAATGAAACAGTGTGTGGGAATGATGTTAGTGATCTTGGCTGGATATGCAAAAGCTATGGCAGTTATAACCACCATTCCTGTCATCAGTGCTATTATTGCATGTGGTGTCTTCCTTGCTCTCATTGCTGTGGTTGGGTTGATTGGTGCCATCAAGCACCATCAAGTCATGCTATTTTTTGTATCCTTTTCAACTATTATCTGGCTGTATTTAGGTTACACAAATTTTATGTTTAAAAATATTGTTATGATATAAATAAATAATCCAATCTAAAAATTCAAACATTATGATACCTTTTTCCTTAACTTAAATAAATTTTGTGTTGTCAGTACATGGTCATTTTGTTCTTAGTATTCATCTTTCAGTTCTCGATCGCTTGTGCTAGTTTGGCTCTAACTGATGAACAACAGCAGGAATTTTTCAGATTAGGTATGAAAATTTATTCAATGTATTTTTCCATTCTTAATATTCAGCTGTCCTCTTGCACCAGTGTTTAAAATAAATTCCATCTTTTTCTTATTTGTAATTAAATTAAATTGATTGAATGCTTGGAATAGGCTGGAAATTGGCTTCTGACGATTTGAAAGACAGGACCCAGCAGGCATTTCACTGTTGCGGCATGGACAGAGAACATCAGTTCAACAGCAGAACACCCTTTGAATATAGACATCCATTATGTTCCAAGGTTGTTCACATTCACGTTCAGTTTACTTCATTTTTCACATGATTAAGACTATTGATTGTAAAAATTTATGAATTTTCAATGAAATTTTTTTTGCATAGATTTTTGTTCAGTGTAAATCTGACATGAATGAGACATCTTGCTGTTCTGGCTACCCAGCAACTACAATGACTACTCTTCAAACGGCAACAGGAACAACATTTTCACCTACCAGTCACTCCAATTCGAACAACACATCGTCATCTTCCGTGACAAGAAAAATAACATTAATGACAACAACAACTACTACAACCCCTATGCCAGTGTGCCCACTTCCTGATTGCTGGAGTGTCGTTGAACCAAATTTGCATCAACTAGTCAGAGCCGTTGGGGCTATTGGATTGTTCTTCAGTTTCACTGAGGTTGAATTCTTTGTTTTTACTTTTGTTTTGCTGTTGAATTATTTATCTTGTTTTTTGTTGTCCATTTTGATGTTGTCCATTCATTTGTTCATTTATTTTACTGTGCACCACTTTTGTTTTATTTGTCCTAAAATTATTAACTATTTTTTTTAATTTAAACATTAAAAGCTGTTCTCAGTTTGGCTGACTGTAAAATTTCGCAACCTCAAAAGTCCAGACTTCAATCCCAGCATTTTTTTATAAGTATTGAAGTCTTGTAAGTTGTTATAAAAATAAATAGACCATATTTGGTATAATTAGGCTTATGAATTATTAATATCGACTTACTTTTATGTTATTTATTTTAAAAAATGATTTATTGCTTAGTTTTTATAGCTTAGATTAAATCCGGTGGGGGATATCATTAATTTAAATTTTCACTGAATGAATTTTTTTGTTTGTTGTCTTTTAACAAGTGTAATATGATGATATAATTACATTACAATCTCCTAAGTTCAAGTAGCAAAGATAAAGGAAGAAATGTCATTATAAAACACTTTTACTACTTGAACATAACAAGCTCAGTTGATATAATTGACGGTTCTTGATAGTTTCTGCCCAGTAACCTGTCACTATAACTCGTTAATTCTTGGTTTTCTCAAGGAGTTTTCAGTTTTTGATCAATTAATTTTATTTTAAGGAGTAATTTGTCTTTTGTTGACTTTTCAAATAATGCTTTGGGCTGGGTTACTGTCATTGTCTACTGGAATTAATTTTATTGACTTTTTCACTGTTGCTTCTGTTATCAATTACTCAATTATATTCACCACTTTGTGTAAACATTCTTACATGTTTATGTTACTGTGGTTTTAAAATGTTATCACATTAAGCACATCATTCCTCCCATTTCAATGCCAACATCAACACATACAAGTTAAGTATCAACATTTAGATTATTACAACAATAATTATATTTTTCAATTCTAAGGCAAGGTCAGCATGCCTACTCATAATGGCAACACAACCACACAACGTCAAAATATTCACATAACATCAACTTATCACATATCAACACAACCATACGACATCAGTATAACATCAATATATTCATATAGCGTCAAAACATATAACATAACTCACATAACTTAACATAGCCTCATGACATCAACGTAATCAAATATGATAACATAAAATGAAAATAAAATCACCATAATCTCAAATATCAACATAACCACGTAATACTAATTACTTAATGTTAATTACTTAATTAAATACTACTTCCACCATGCAGATAATAGGGATATGGCTGACGTTTAGGTACAGGAACCAGAAGGACCCTAGGGCTAATCCCAGCGCTTTTCTATGAATTGTTTCTACATATTGAATATATTAATGATATGTACATACATATATAATTATCTATACACTTATTTTTATTCCAGATTCATAATTTAAAATTTGATATGTAAAAATATTTTTTTGTTAACGTGATTTAATTGAAAAGGCTCTAGGGAAATCAATTTCAAATGAACATTGGTAAATTCCGTTTTGTTTTTATTAAATTTTTTATAAATAACCTAACATCCATAAAAAATTGGGAGTTTGTTGATGCTGGCCTAAACAAAATTCTGCGTTTGTAAACGTGATTTGTATATGCACGAACACTTATGTCCTATATATATATATATATATATTATAGATGTATATATATATATATATTTATATATATATATATATATATATACCATTGGCACTCCAGAGATTTAGAGATACTCTTACTTGATTGCTGGTATAACTTAAAATGGATGATGATGATAAAAGTATGGCAGTTTAACTAATGTTTAACTAGTAAAATATATATTAGTAGATATATTACATTAACTATATATATAGTGTATATAAATATATATATATATATATACATACAGTTAACGTATATAAACGCGAAAAGTAACCCTTCTGTAGAAATAAAATATGCTTTACAATAGCCTGTATCCGTATCTATATTTGCTTAATTGTCGTAACTGCTTCATTTTATCTTCTTATGCCGTATATTTTATTGTCTGTGTTTGATTCGTGTTAGTTTTGTGATTACTACGACGAACGTCATTCAGCGGCATTTACGCGTTAAAGAATTTAAAATTATTATTATGTATGGATTGAGTTATTTTTGTGACCTGAGCATTTATTGGTTCAATTTGTTTTGTTGATGTATATTAATTAATTAGTTTACATGGCTTAGTTGATAATTCTGTTGGCGATATTTTATTAAAATGTATAAATAAGATATTGCGAGATAGACATTGAAAGGCTGATTTGATAGCTTCACGTTCATCAGTGTAGCTGCTTAATTTTTATAAGCAAAATTTGAATCAACATATCCAACAACAAGATTTACTTTAAAATTGATTCAGTCTAATATTTTAATAATTTTTTTTAAATGAATGACTTGTTTAATAATGTCTCATCTCATAAAACGTTATAGAAGTACATTTTGTTACTGGTGTTCATAGAAGTTTATGTCATTAGGATTATACCTGACTAGTCCAAGTTTCTACTGAATTATTCACCTTGATGTTCTTGTGATTAGTTAATAAGTCATCCTCTCTCTCCAGCTCTCTCTCTCACCTTATATATGTTCGTAGACGTCAATTTTGCTCAATATATTTGTTTAGCCTAATATATATTCAATTACCATTATCCGTTTATTTTTAATTTTTGTCAAAATTACAATTTATTATATTAATCTGCAATAATTTGATTAAATGTAGTATCTTGGAGCATTATGAACTGTACTAGTCATTGTTTGAAAAGCATTATTTAAATTGGGATAATTTAAGTCTTTCAGGAATCTTCTATTTATCTTCAAACCATTAAAGATCTGTACGATGATATTTCCGTTCATCTACTCTACCATGTTATTGCCATGCCGTGCCATGTCAGTCATATTGTTTGCTCACGGGCGTTATTTTTTCTTCTATAAATTTGTATATTCATTTATTGATGCTAACTAAAGCCATGTAAACTTTTGTTAGACTTTAAATTGGTGAGTTCACAAACAACTGTATTTTACTCTATCTTCATATACTTTGAAATTGGCTTAACTTTCTTTAAAAATTTTAATGAATTTTTCTTTGATGTAAATAAATAAGCTTTAAAGATTGATAAATAAATGTCTGATTTCAAAATATTTCATTTGTTATTGACCATAGCAAAAAGTAAATTAAATCACACTGGCCATCTAGATGATAATAAAAAGTTTTTGAGAGTTTTTGAACATTTGTAGTTTTCATTTATTGTTCAAGATTAATATTTTACCCTGCAAAGAACTTAGCGATCCGTAACTTGGGAGACAGAACTCATCCTTACACCTTAACATCGCTGGATCAACAGTTCTCAACTGATTGTTGCTCTCTAGCAATTGATCAAGATCCCATATGTGCGGCTTCAAACTTTTTCCTTGAACAGCAAATATGTACAGCTCTTTTGATTCTTTATTTTCTCCATGTATGATGTCCTTTTGGAATCTAATGAACGAGTCCTCTTTTGACAAATCCGCATTATTCATCAAGTAGAATATGTGACTTACTTCATATGATGGCTTCAATAGTTGTATCAAATCTTCTTCATATTCGGTCTTTACAACCAAGAAACCTGATTAAATGGATACAGTTAACCTTAGACTAACTTAAAATATTTTTTGCACCAATTTCTCATTTGAAATAAGTAAAATAACGGATACGACTAGATTGAAATAACTGGTCTAAATATAACACAGATAATAAAAGATGAAACGTAAAAAACACACCGGTGACTAGAGCCCAATGAGCCTTCACGCCATTTTTCATGCATGGCTCGTTGTTGAAATCTCTGTCATAACTGGTAGCAAGGTTCAACATTTGAAACAACATTCATTCATTTTATGCACAGAAGATTAAAATGATTAATCTCAGAAAATAATAAGAAACTTGATGCGATTCATACAGAAATTTTATAGAAAGTTTATTTTGTATTTAATATTATAAACCATACAATAATGAGTTGAAACAATTACGTGTAAAACAATTTTTTGTTAATGTTTTAGCAGGTTAAAATCATGAAAATGTGAGTTGTGTGTAAATCCCAAACGAACGCATGCAAAGGCAGCCAACACCTATTAGAGATAGTTTTATAAACACAAAACTTCACTTATAGTTGGGTTGTAATAATGAACTTAAACAAGCTTATAAGGTTTAATACATTCTTCAAACGTGAGATATGAAATGTAAAATACATAATATTTAAACAAATTTACCAACGGCACAAGGATGGGATGGTGGTTAAAAAGAGCTTGCAAAATCAATTTTTTCTTTTCTCGAACATCAGTTGTGCTTTCTGTGATTCTTCCCTCAATGTTTTGATTGATATACTGAGCCAACTTCAATAAATTTTTTACTGATGGAAAAAACAAAATTTCAAACAAGCATCAATAATTATAAATGCCAGAATAAAAAAGTGATATAAAATTGTTGTCACTTTAAACTAAAATAGAAATTCTTTAATAATTTTGCATACTACTAAACATTTCTCCTTGCTTTGTGAATCCCAGTGATTTGGCAAGTTGTATGATATTTTCTATCTCCATTTCATTGTTCTTCATTTCTGGTGTCAGGATTTGAAGTGCCATGCTTAGAGCTGCCAATCCACAGCTGAATGCATAAATGCATTAACCAAATTAATTTCAGAACAGTTTAGTTTGCGTGTATTATTATAAGAAATAATGAAAAAACTAGGTATACAAACCAACCTTGGTCCATTTTGAACAACAGGTGATACATGTGAAATGGATATAATGTAATGCAAGAGCCCACACTTTTCATTCTGATTTGCTTCAATATTAGCTATATTAAGTTTTCTTGAATAAATTTTATTAATTAGAGTTTTTGAAATTTATAAACATTTGAATTAATAAAATATTTATTTATTACTTGTGATTTAAAAAGCAGGATGCCTTGCTAGCATTTTCAAACCTGATAATCAAGGTTTCTATAATTTTTTGTGATGATTCATTGTTCTCTATATCAAACTCTTTATTTTTTAAGGCCAACAGATTATCTCTAACTAACTGCTTGGTTAATTTTTTTACATCTAATAAAAGAGAAGAAACCGGTGGTGTGTTTGCTATTACAATACCATCATCAGCATTACAAACTTCATTCTTCTGGGAAAGAAGATGCAAAGCCATCAGACAAGGAAAGTGCTGAATGTTGTTTTCATGTTTTTCAAATATTAAAATAATTTAATTAATAATTACAATATTTAATTGATTATTACAATATTATTAATATTATTTTGAATTGAAAACCATGGAATCAAGAAAATGATTAATTAATTTCATTATTTTATTACAGTAACTAGTAATGTATAAGTAAAATATGTTAAATATTAATTAATAAAATAAATATTGAAATTAAATTAAATATAATAATTAATAATTTTAATATGATATTGAATTATTGATAATACTAATAATAGTAAATACTAAATATTATTTACTATCATATATTATGATTATAACATATCTAACTAGAAGATTAGTTGAGTTCTAGATTTAGATATTATTTTAGAGAGTATTTATTTTATAGAGATAGAGTAGTAGACAGATAACACACAACACAGAGATCCAGTTCTGTACTTTATAATTATAATACTAACTAATTTTTCTACTAGAAAGTAAACATTGTATATTATAAATAAATTAATCATAATAAAGACGATACAACATTTAATTTGTAATTACTGAATTAAATCCATTAAAATTGCCTACCGACGGCCGATTCCGAGTGCAAAATTCTAGATCTAGCCCCTGCGCCAAGATCTTCAAGAACTTGCTTGACGCAGAAGTGGGAGTCGAAAGATATCTATCAAATATATATTGTATAGCATATATATATAATGTTGTATTCTAATGCCTATATATGTAATTATATAGAATACGTATTCTTTCATACATTAATAGTTCATATAAAAATATAATTATATAAATTCCTCTATAATATATTGAAATGTATGTAAAGCTTGTATTCTGCACCAGCTATTGAAAAGTGTATACGCGGTATTTATCAATCCAATCCATGTTCAATTTTTCTTCTTTCTCGTACCTTATCCTTTCAGGACATTGGCGACCATCGACCTTCACAAAACCCGATCACCAGAAAAATGTAACACGCCAGTATTTTTAATTTTGATGATATTCTGATTTTACTGTTGGTGAGGATGTTTCTCATTCTAGAATGTGCATCTTTCGCCATAGCTATTCTTCGTTTGATATCCACATAACATTTACAACCTGAGATAATCAGATTTCCGAAATAATTGAAGCTGTTGACCTGTTTCACCTGTCTAATTAACGATTATGGAGCAGATCGGGGACTTTTGCTTTTACTGCGATAACCATGCACTCTGTTTTGTTGATGTTAATTTGCAAGCCTTTCCTTTCACTTTAAAAAACCAGTTGGGAAATAATTGTTTGCAGTTTTTTCCATAGGATCAGCTATAAGAGCTGTATTATCAGCATATCTTGCATTGTTTATAAGATCTGTATTATCAGCATATCTTACATTATTTATATTTACACCTCCAATGGAAATGTATAATCCTTATTTTTCGCTGTTATTACCCTCTCTCTTCAAAGTTTAAAATTTCTTCATACTTTTATAAAGAGTATTCCTTATATCATTTTGCAACAACTGAAATTTCTCCAGCTTCTAGCTTTCAGTGAAAAGTATTGAAGTAGATGAACTATAAAATAGTTTGGCGAATGTCCCATTATTATTAAATGCTGACGTAATGCTGTTTATTTGCTTTGCAATTCGTATTAAAAAATAAAACATCTTGAGTGTTTGGTTTTCGTTGAACTAGAGAATGGCTGAATACGATGTTGGAGGTAAACGAGTAAGAGCCAACAAGTTGGCGGAGGTTCTTGTTAGGAAAACTCACTGTCAGTAGAATTCTCTATGTTTTGCTAATTAAATTTTTGAATTTTATTTCTTTAAACATTATATTATATCATCAGATTTTCAATATAAATGTACAAATTACATTTTAAAAGAATTTGTTTCATCTACAGTCACTGCCGGTGAAGTTAAAAGGTTAATGGAATTGTTCGACGAGATGACAACGTACAAACTTGCTAGACGGGAATATTGCAAATTTATTTTTGAGCAATTTGACATCGACGATGAAATAATCCTTGAGAGAAGTAACTTTTTAATTCGAACCATATATCAACATATAGTGTGGTATTATTGTTTTTTTAGGCCGTTTTCAACTTTTGTTTGGGATTTTTCGATTTCAATCTTCGTAGCAATCATCAAGTTTAACTATAGTCTGGATTTCCTTTCAGTTGGACCAATCTAGATGCAATATAGCGGCATCTTATCGATATAATTTTCTTGAAAAATAAAAGTATTTCTTTTTTTAAGCGCATTTTCCCGGTTAGCGATAATAGTGATGATGTAAATGTGGTTCGCATCTTCTACACTATGGTCGTTGTCAAATCTTTCAAAATGCGTTTATTTCTTACATTTCATTGATTTGTTGCATAAAAACTTTTTCCTAATAACTTTAATCTGTTGTTAATCTCTTATTTTTAAGGAATGATTTATAAACAAGCAAAAAGAATTATATTGCCATGAAAAGTCATTGCTAAAAAATGTTTTTTGTAGTATTCAAAGTTACCGTGAAAAGTAAAGAGAGTAAGGTGGACATAGCAGAATTCATTCACACCATGTCAGTTATGCTCAGAGGGACGACAGAGGAACGAATCAAATGTAAAAAAATTTTTTAATTTTTTCATACATTTGCTTGTTTTCAACTTGAATATATCAATTCTGGATTTTTAAGGTATTTTTATGCTTTCGATAATTGAGCTAGATATAAATTTTAGATTGCATTATAAATTACGTCAGTCTGCTTTGAAGTTTACAATCTCAGTAAAAACAGTTACATCAGCAAATTCGACATCATTCAACTGCTTAAGAATTCAATCCTGAAGCCGCCAACAAATGTTGAGTTGGAAGATTTTTTGAAGGAACTCATCGAATTAACAATCAAAAAATTGGTTATTAATGGGACTTATTTTCTTATTTTAAAACGAGTTAATTTCTAAATAAGCTGTATGTTATGATTGCTGTCAATAAAACATATATTTAACATCATTTTGAAAAGCTGATGTGTCAAAAGTGTTATTATTAAACATTTAATATTGCAAATTTATTTTTTACTTTCCAGACATCTAATGAAAATCAGCGGATCTACATTAATGATTATAGGTCAGCTATCCTTAAGCAACCTCAGTTAATGCAGTGTTTGGGCGTTGTATTTCCTTGTCCCTCGGTTTGCGATTACTGGATTACATAACTTCATTTCGCAAACAAAATTAATATAAATTAATTTTTTTATTTAATCAAAATTTTGAAAGTATACCGATTAAGAATACAATGCTTTATTCAATAACTTATTTTCAGAAAGTTGAAGCCTTTCAGCAATGCTACTTCTCAAGAGAAAAAAGTTCTGATAAATGCAAATAACGTTTTTCTTTTAACTACGGGCCATAAAAATACGATAAGCTAATGAATAAAAATTCCAAAATGAATCTTCATTAATTAATTTGGTTTTCTTGATGGTATAGTATAGTGTTTTACTGATTGATACTTGATACTAAGAGTGCAGCAGCAACAACAACAATAATAATAATAATAATAAAAGGTTAAAGGTCATAGATGTAGAGGCTGATACATCAAGATGTCTATGATACAAACACACACATAAGTATATATTTACTCATTCATTCTTTCATTCATACATTCGTTCATTCATACATTCATTCGTTCATTCATAAATTCATTCATTCAATTTGTATGCGCCCACACGCCCGTTAAGGAATAAACATTTTATAAAGATGAATTTGCGTGTGGTCGCTTGAGTGACGTCATCGTCATCACTATTATCATCAGCGAATTCGTCATCATCGCCATTATTATTATTATTGTAATTGCATTTTTATCATATTCATTGTTATAATCATTGCTATAATTATTATCATCGTCGTCATCATCATCGTCGTCATCATCATCATCATTGTAATCATCGTCACAATCCCCCATCATCCTTACAATCGTCGTCACAACCATTATTTTAAACGAAAAATCAACACCTAACAGCTACGTAAGAACTTGCATGTACTGTAGTTTCAAAACTAAATCAACTAAACCGGATATCCTTTGCCACTTATTACAACCTTACTCATCATCATCATTCTCTCTCTTACTCCCACACACACCACACACAAATATTTTATTTATTTATTTAAAAAAACTGGAAGGCCAGAACTCATTACAAACCAGTTTAACTTGTACGGCCTTCGTAAGTACATAAAACAATTACATATACAACACATACCAAAATAAATTTACATACTCTAATGTATAATCATGGAGGCTAAATAGCATGTAAGAAGTGTAATAAGAAGAAAAAAATTAACAAGAGTACAGAAATGTTTATCAGTGACTTAATAAAATGAAAAATTAACAAAGAGGTCACACATAGACGGTGGAAATGAGAGGTGTAATAAACATCATTGACTGAGTGTAGGAAGATAAGTGTAAAATACTGAAAGTATATAAAAGAAAAGTGGTAAAACGAAAGCCAATGTTAACAAAATATGAAATAATTCAATAGAAGCAATGTGTGTGTGTGTGTATGTATGTGTGTGTATGTATGTGTGTGTATGTATGTATGTATGTATGTATGTATGTATGTATGTATGTATGTATGTATGTATGTTAAAACCAAATCAGCGATGAGTGACACTAAACAGTCAAACATCTGAAAAAATCGGTTAACAATTGATATCTCGTTATTCGCTCACGTCGGCGTTTAATTGAACATTTTCGGTAACACAGACGCGCAAAAACCTTTGCAGCAAACAAGATATATGATTCATGGCGAAAAATAGCTCTCTGCTGTCGCCAGACCTGCCACTTATCATTTTGCAAATCTTTTTAAAAAATATTGAAGTGTTGTTGTCCATCGGGCCAAGAACCTCGATGCAAACAGGTAAAAAATCCATCGAGGGCAGGGCACCTTCATATTTTTTAAACTTTTCATCCGATGCCCTGGTTGCGGCCAAACCACTTTCTTTGCTGGTTAAGTGCACGTACCGTTCCGCTAATGTGCCCGGAACGGTTACGTCCCACGCCAGGCATCTACGGCTCTCCAAGGAATCAACGTGCAGCCATCCGGACGTTTCCATCCAACGCGGAAATCCCGAGGGCTCTTTAAGAACGGGTATTGAAGCCTTGGAGAAAAGCCGGCAGATGTAATCATTTAATGCGGAATGGCGCAACTGACGACCTCCACCTAAACGACAGACCAGGCCGTGGTGACCGAGTTCGTTAGCTTCCGCACCGCACCTACACAGATATTTATGGTGGACCGTTAAACCCAGACGAAAACCAATGGCCATCCTGACCGTCTCATCATCCAGTCGGGTACCCACCGATGAGTTGGGCCAGGATCTCAACCAACCGCAGCCCGCGTCGCTTGACGCGGCCAGCAGACGAGCCGAAGTTGCATCGTCGGGACTAGAGGACAACAAAAACTGAAAAGTTGTTTTGTATGCCTCTTCCAGCAACCGAGCTTGAAAATGTTTTGCTCGGTTGGGTGATGCTGGTAGGGTACCAAGATTCGTGAAAGATTGCCGGAGCAGGGCAGACTGCAGGTCGAGCGTGGCAGCGGCAGATGATTTGTAAACAATAGGTGCCAGCTGGACTACGCTTAACAACCCCAGTCCCCCAAACCGAACCGGCAACTGGGCCTGAGACCAGCCCCTGTCTGTCAACTCAACATTGCATAGGGCTGACAAAGCTGACCTCAGGGCGCCATCGAATCCGCCCAAAATGGATACATCAACCGAGAAGGATGTACGAAGGAAATACATCAATCTAGGCAAACTAAGGGCGTTGCGGACGATGGTCAGCGCGTCGTGGACCGGAAGATGAGACACTCGGTCGAGGGCGAATTTCAGCTCTGCGAGTTTTTTATTAAAAAAAGTGTTTTGAAACTCACCCTCCATCAATGGGGTGCCCAAGAAGCTCAATGATGCCTCAGACACTAAGGGCACTTCCGCCAGTGTCTGTGGCATTTCAAAAGAGTTGTTTGCGTACAATTCGCATTTTTTAATATTAAGCTCAAGCCCAATGATGGAGGCATTGTCTTTTAAAGACAGGAAATCAGTAGCTAAAATTGCACCCTCGGCGGCCAAACTGATATCGTCCAGGTAGCCGCAAACGAATTTTGAAAGAGATTTTTCCAACACCGGGTGTAGGGTCAGAGCAAACAACATCGGCCCCAAAGGGTCATCCTGTTGCACCCCCTCGGACGATTCCATCACCCAGGTGTTATAACCAAGAGAAGAGATTCGGCCATATGCGGAGTGGCAGTAATTGTAAATTTGGGGACAGAGCCGTTTGACTGCCTCCAGCATCGAATCTCTCCTCAGGGTATTAAAGGCATTCCTGAAGTCAATTTTTAAAAAACCCCATTTATCGGGTAAGTCCAGAACCAATTTACGGGCCGCATGTACGGCCGCCTCTGCTCCTCCTTTCACCCCAACGCCCAGTTGAATTGGGTAAAGTTTCGCCTTGGTTTCTTCCAACACCAAGATCAGAGCACATTTGCTGGCCAACCTTCTCCAAAAGTTACCGACCACAATAGGTCTAACTCCCCCATCTTTTTTTGTCAACGCTATCAAACGACCCCCGAAAAAGAAACGGCTGGCGGCGGATGGGCACGCGCCAGATAAAATTATATTTATAAACTGTGTTAGGGAGCTTACAAACTCGTCAATGGGCAGTGGGCCTGAAATTAAATCTTTAATGTGCTGGAGCCTTAGGCAGTCAAGGCCTCCAGACGAACCATTCCTAAATGACTTCAGGGCTGACAACACCTGGGTGGGTGAAACGCAACCATTTACGGTTTCCGGTGCAGGAAAGACTCGCCTGTCCGATGGTGACCTGGGGTGGATGGCGTTGAGTCTAACCAATGTCTCAGGCGAGTCCCCCGCCAGACCCTCGGGAGAGCAAACAAGCCTGACAGCCGCCGAAAGATTGCCCTGTTCTATGCGGGCGATTGCGGTTTGAATCCAACTGTTTGGATTGTTTTTTCGTGGCTTTATTGTATTGTCGATTTCAAAGCCAGCCGCAATAGACTCAACCTCCAATGTAGAGTAATCTGCCAATCGTTTGTTAACATGATTACCCTGGTTGAATCTTCGACCCCCTCTGGCAGGCTTTTTGAGGATATATGGGAAAAAACAATGGAGCCTGTACCAGTGAGTTGGGTCGCAAGGTTCATTACAAATTGCCGCCATGAGGGACATCAATTCTTTTATTACTTTTTCCCTACATGGTTTCGGCACATGATCAATAACCGGGGTTTTTCTCAAGGCGGCCGTCAGTCTGTCAAAAAAAGCGTTAAGGTCAGTTCCCATGGGAGCCTCCGTGACCGAAGCTGATGTACGTGCGGCTTTGCGACCCTCGTTGACAGGTGCAGCGCGGGGAGCCAAACCCGAAGGTCTTGTAGACCCGGCCGATGGTTGGTCGACCGCTTTCATAGACCCAGGGCATTCTTGACCCTTCTCTTTCCCTCCGTGCCGGTGTAATTTCCCGTCCGGTCTTAATTTATAGCGGTTGAAACAAAAAGTGCATTTGTGTAAAACCGGAGCCATAAATAAATATAAAATTAAAATTATTTTAATTAAAATACTAATAAAACTGCAAACATTGTTAAAACTTTAAACCAAAAAATAAAAATTAAAACAAAAATATTGCAAGGATGGTGTACATAAATGAAAAACGGAAAGCTAGTATTGTATACTATTTGATATTCATGAGTTTAAAAAAAAAAATTTTGGAAACGAAATAAAATTTGATAAAACCCACCAAACCACCATAAAATATCCAAAAAGCAAAAAGAAACAGTCCAAAACGTTAAAACCAATTTTAATAACCAAAAATTAGTCAAAACTAAAAACTAAAATCCCTAAAACCTTTAAAAACGCGAAATGTTACCAGCAAAATGTTTCAAGTCGGCCGGACCGTGTTGAGCTAACGAGATTTCGTATGAGATGTATGTATGTATGTATGTATGTATGTTAAAACCAAATCGTGATGAATGACACCAAACAGTCAAACATCTGATTAAAAGGGTTAAGGGTATGTATGTATGTATGTATGTATGTAAAGATGAATTTGCGTGTGGTCGCTTGACTGTGTTATTGTTTAAATATACCTACATACCTGTGGTTATGTGGGTGAATGGATACTATTTGGTGACCAGACAATTGGGTAATTGACATTGGGTAATGGACAATTGGGTATCGAGACAATTGGGTAATGGTCAATTGGGTAATTGACAATTGGGTAAATAACTGTCAAAAAATCCTTTAATTATTATTGAATATATTTAAAATTTTTTTACTTTATTTTTAAGCAAATTACATTGAAAGCACAAATACAAAAACACAAAAATATAATAAACAAAAATCCTTTAATTAAGCACAGATATAATTCAATGTGTCAAACTAACTTTGAAAACATTATTGACTGGCTTGCATTTTATTATAGCAGATTGGCTATCCTTCGTAAATACTTGATTTTGTCAGACTCATTTGCAAAATTTTGTACTTCATTAGCAACCATAGCATTCAACTTGACATACTTTCTTTTTGAATTCGGATTGAACATCACTAGTTAGGAAGAGTATGTAACGAAGTAGCCTATCGTAACGAAGAACTCGCCAAGTACTTTTTATTGATTACCCAATTGTCCATTACCCAATTGTTTCGTTACCCAATTGTCCATTACCCAAATGCAATTACCCAATTGTCCATTACCCAATTGTCATAGAACAATACTATTTATAATTAACTTTCTAATGTTCAATTCTTGAAAAATATTTTTAAAATTCTTTACATTACCCCAAGGTCGTTTCTAGTTTCAGTCTTTAGTTAGACGTCTTTTAGTTTTCGATGTCAACATTGAATTGTTCTTTTTTAATTATGATTTAAATTTATTTTTTAATAATTTGATTATAAATAAATTAATTATTTTTATTAAATAATGGCGTTTGCCAATGATTTCGTTTACTACGAAGATCATGCTACGGAAAAACTGCCCGCTTGCACTATAAAGGTAAGAAATTAGGCAAAATCTTTCTTATGTGGTACTGGGAATTTAAAATTGCCATTTTAAACGTTTATATTTTATAAGATTACAACAAGACAAGAACGGGTTATTAAAAAGGGACAGGAGCTAAACGACGCTAAATTTACTTTTTTAAATATATTATAATTTATTTTTAACTCTTTCTATACCATTTTTTGGATTATTATATTATATTATAATTATAGTTTATATTATATTATACAATATGGATATTTCTTTCTAAGCTAAGATTTTGCCTAAAATTTAGATTTAGTTAGACCCTAAATCTAAAATTCTAAGTGGTTACATTGAGAAATATTAAGATTGATTAGCAGCCCATTTTTATACTTTTTTATAGAGTTTATTAGATTAGGACTAGGCCATTAATATTAAGAAAATTTGTTTTTTATTAGAAATTATTTTGTTTAAATAATAATATGAATGTTATAAATTTAACTAAAATCTTGAAACTTTTTGGCAGTTTTTAAAGTTTCAAGTTATTTAAAATAAATAAATTAATCTAAAATTTAACTATTAAGTCATTTGTTATTTAAATTTATAATTTATTTTAATTGTGTTTTTCCCCAGCATTCAATCATTCCAATCAAATCATGGTTTCCATTTTCAATTTTACTGACTACTTACCAATTTTTTTTTCCATTATAGTTTGAATTGATAAAGTTAAGTTCAAAGTGAAATTTAACGAAACTATTTATTTTTATGATTAATTAGTTTAATTAATTTTAGTTAAATTTCACTTTTTAAAATTTAAAATTAATTAAATTAGATTAATTATTTCTATTATAAATGATTTTTTTATTTATTCTCATATAAATAAAGAGGCAATCTAAACTGGATCTAAACAAATCAGACATGTTACAATTGCTTAGCTACTTAGAAGGTGAACTACAAGCTAGAGATATTGTTGTGGCAGCCCTGCATGTGAGTTATGTTGGCTTTCAATTTAGTTATCTATTTCTTTTATTTTCTTCTGCCACCATTCACTTTATTAAAAGTTGAACATTTTTATTATAGTGTACTTTTTAACTCATTTAAGTTTAGAACAATAAATGAATTAAAAATTAATTTAAATTAAAAGGCAGAGAAAGTGAAAACACTGTTGCGCAAGGCTCAGAAAGACAAGAAGCACCCCAAAGACCCAATCCTGGCTCTGCAAAGAGATTCAGATCTTCTGCAGGATTGTAGCTATGATGAGTCTGATGTCAAATCCATGTACAATGACCAGCTGGTTAAGTTGGAGAACCTGATCACCACACAACAAAACTGCCAAAAGAAGATGAAAGATGTTGTTTCTATGGTTCAAAATAAATATTTAGAGGTACTTAGTGATGGTTTTATTCGTTTTTAAAAGTTCTATATTAAAACTCCAACCTATACGTTTTATATACAGTATATGTTATTTGAATTACATCATTTTTAGGTGGCCACAAAGTTAGAGCATGACAAGCAGTTGTACTCAAGATCGATTGCAAATGATGGCAACATCATCTGCGCACTTGAGAAGGAGAGAGACAGGCTGAAACTAGAGGTCTGTGAAATTTTTAACTGATATTTAGTGGTTCATTGTTTGACATTTTAATTCATTTGTAATGATTATTTCTTAGCTCGAACAAGAAACTAGCCAGGCAAAAGTTCTGGAAGGTGAGTTGGAAAGATTGAAGAAATCACAAAATGACCCACCAAAAAGCTCTGTTGACTATGAACTTGTTAGCTTTCAATTGTCAACCTCTTTCTAGATTAGTTTAACATTACAAAAATGAACAAATATAAATTAGATATTCAACCTTGCCAGATTGCAGTCCAACTGATAAAAGAACAAACTCGACTGATGCACAAACTTGCCAAACTTCAAAAACTTGATCTATCTTTGCAGGAAGAACTGAATGTAGAAAATGAAAAAGTTCAGCAGCTGGAGAAGCAGCTGAAAGCTGAAGAAGAAAAATTGATGCACGAGGAAGCCACGCAGGAAAAACAGCTGAGCGAATTCGACTTTAAGAAGCAGCAGCTCATGGCTAAGCTGAGCAAAGCTGAAAATCAGCACAAGCAGTTGTTAGCTGAGTTAGAGCAGCTACAACAACCTCAAGTGCAGTCGACAGCAACAACAACAGCTGCAGTGTCTGGCAAAGATGACAAAAGTGTTAAACAAAATTTTAAAGTATGTTTACGTGTGTGATTCATTCACAAAAGTTATTGAAATTTAAAAATTTATTCTGAAAATTTCTCAACAGGTCATACCAATCAACGTCCACTCCTCATCGTCTTCAACTACCAAAACGCAACAACAACCACCACAACAACCTGAAGTTCTACAAACGGCAAGTCATCCTTCCCAATCTACAAAGTTCTCCCTACTACAACAATTACAGCAGCAGCAGCAGCAACATCAATTACAGCAACAACATCGCCAACAAATTAGACCACCATCGACGACAACCATCCAGCCGAGAATCAGATCGCCCAACTCCAACGTTCCCATCCCCATTAACAACCTTAACAACAGTACAATTTCATCAATGAACTCCAACACCATCATCAACACAACAGCACCACAGACAACTAAAAGCGTTTCGCCTCAAAGGCCTCAGACGACAAGTAGCTTTAGGAAGATCGTGCCCCCGGGGAGTTTACGCGGTCCACCGCCCATCCCTTCAAATAAACCACACATCCCTAATTTGCTGCCTCAACAAAAATTTCAACAAAACAGCAGTGCTGCTTCTTCTATTTCATCTTTCAAGCCACAACTTAAATGAACATATCTTTACTGCTACTCTTATTATTTTTATAGAGTTTCTCGTTATCTAATCATGTTATTGCTTCAAGATTGATATTAAATTGGTGTATTAAACATATGTGTACACACACACCACACACACACACATTTATACATATTATTTATTTTCAAATGCTTGTGCTATTTGTAAATATAAGTATAACAATGCCTGTATAATAATATTCAATTAAAAATATTTTAAGAACTGATTGTGAAAAAGTATTTATTTATATTAATAATTATCGCCATTTTATATGAGAAAAGACAAAAATTATGAATATAATTGACGGATTATGTCTCCATTTTTTTTTTGTAAAAACAATTTTAGCATTTATAAATAAGCTGGATTTATTTATTTCCATTATTATAATTATAACTATTATAACATTTAACAATATTTTTATAGCTGTTTTTTAACTTAAATTTTTAAAAAATTTGAAAAATATTAATAACTTTCTTAAAAAAAAACACCAAAACAAAAAGATACTTTTAATATATTAACATGTCACAAACTTGCAAACCCTTGCCTGCTAATGTGTTTGATTTATGTGTGTGTGTTTGTGTGTGCGTGTATGTATGCGCGTGTTGCTAATGTAAGCGGGCCCTTATATTATCTTTTAATAAAAATTTCATCATTAGAATAACCATAATAATAATAATAATATTAATAATAATATAGCGAATCACGATAATTATAACAATAGTAATCTGAATAATTATAATTACTGTAATTATGATTGTTAATTTGTTGTTAATAAAAAAGTATGAAATGAGGTTACATAATTTTGAAAGAATAGAGAGAAAGTTTTTTTTAACTTAAATTCACATTTAAATCAATCTAATCTACCACTTTTCTATCTCAAATCTTAAGTTTGGAGAAAAAAACGAATTGGAGAAAGTTAACACACAGGTCAATGAAAATGAAAGCTTCAAGAAAATTGACAATGCACATATAGACACTTATAAACGTGGGATATATATATATATATATATATATATAAAGCTATACATAAGATATATAATATGTATATGTGCATATATCCGAAAATTTATACAAATATGCGTATCTACACATTCACAAGCAGTTTAATGTCCACCATATACATATAATTATCTATACAGATATATATATATATATATATATATATATATATATATATATATATATATATATATATATAGATTTTCACCAATTAAACAGTATATATATACGCTGTGTTGTGTATACACTACACTACACTCGTACATGTATATATATACATACGTATATATATGTTACTTGCGGTAACTGGTAAAATCCCTATTCAAAGGACTTTTACCTTTATTAGTGGGTGATGATGAAAGTGAAGATGATGACGACGATGTTGATGAGGATGAAGACGATAAGACGGATGAAGATGATGATGCCTGATTAGGTGACCGGAGGCCTCGGCAGCCATCTTTAAATCATTCAGGTACTGCTGCTGGGACTCGGCTATGACCCTTGCCAGCATCGTATCTTCTTCATCCCATTCCGATAATCCTGATTAATTTGGGAGGAGGAAGAGAAGGATGATGATGATGATGAGGATGGCGAAAATGATGATGATGATGATCAGATGATAGTTGAATCACTTCAAAAATATAAAATGGAAGTAATCAATGATGATTGACTTAGATATAGAAAGTATTTTCTATCATAAGAACACTCCCTTTATCAGTAACGTTAGTGGCCACAAGAGTTATAACAATAAATATATTTATTACTACTGCTATTAATATTAATTACTGCTACCAGTTGTTCCATACATATCGGTATTACTACTACTGTTATCGTATTTAAGTAAAGAAGTATTTGTATAAGAGTTACCAAACAGCTGTGGCGGTAGTTCGTTCATTAGAGATGCAGTCTCGTCGAAGACGCCACCAACAGCGCCGACACCATCGTCGTTGTGGCTGTTGCCGCTGTTCTTTGTGGCAGCTGCATTCTGCTGGGTCGATGATGAAGAACATTGGTACAATGGTGATTTCGGCGATTGACCTGGTCGGTTTGAAATGAAATTTTTGAAGGTTAGAGAGAGTCAATCAATCAACCTATCAATCAACCTATCAATCAATCAATCAATCAACCTATCACTCAATCAATCAATCAACCTATCAATCAATCTATAGGTTGATTACCTATCATTCAATCAATCAATCGACCTATCAATCAACCTATCAATCAACCTATCAATCAATCAATCAACCTATCACTCAATCAATCAACCTATCAATCAACCTATCAATCAATCAATCAACCTATCACTCAATCAATCAATCAACCTATCAATCAATCAATCAACCTATCACTCAATCACTCAACCGATCAATCAACCTATCAACCAACCAACCAACCAACCAATCAATCAATCAATCAATCAAATGCAAATCACAAGCAACCAAATAAACAAATCCATTAAGAAAAACCTCCAAAAAACAGTTGTATAGATTTCAAGAAACAAAAAAGAAACAGAAACACATTAATAACTTTCCTAAACAAAACCAAGGCCCAGACTGATAGGCTTCAAAAAACTCCCAAACAGACAGACAGACAAACTACACTAACTGTCTTCTCTTTTAGGAGAGTCCCCATGTTCACTGGACTTTTTCAAGAATCTCTTGGGGGTATCTAGAATGGAAGTCGGACTGTTACTGGCTGCACTGTTGTTCTCCCACCACATGTGCAGGTGTTGTTGCTGATGTTTTTGTGGCTGCTGCAGGTTCGTGGGGTCGTTGGTGGAGCTACATGTCGCCCGAGGCTGTTGTTTTGACAGTGTTAAAGTTGTTAATACAACTACTTCGCTTTTTAATCGAAATATTCAAACCATCTATTTACACTTGAATCAATTCTAACCCAAAGCATTACTAATCTCCCTACATTACAAAAATTACATAAAAAATTAGTTAAAGCAACTTACACATTAAAAAATCAAATATAATAAAAACGAAACAAACACCAATAGGAAAGAGTCATAAAAAAATGCTTACAGATGCCTTGGCACTTGCAAACAGGTTTTGGTCCTTGATGTACTGCAAGTAGGATTCCCTGGCCACCTGTTCTTCTATGGTCTCCTGAGTCAGTTCCCAGTCTGTCTCTCTTAATTTGTCCTCTAACATTGTCTGTGCGCATTTGGATATTATGCATGTGTGTGTGTTTGAGTGTGTGTGGGTGTGTATGTTTCTAAATGCGTGTGTGTGTGTGTGTGTGTGTGTGAGTGTGTGTGTTTCTAAATGCGTAAGTGTGGTGAAATAAATCAATGAAAGCCCAACTGGATAAATGAATGAATGAATAAATAAATAAATAAAGGAATAGAAACATTGACAAAACCAAATGAATAACAAAGAAAAAGTAGTATCTGAAAAACATTACACCAATCTGCAGAGTTATGATTTAAAACATAGAAGGTTGAAAAGTTAAATACTGAACAAATTTAAAAACTTCAAAACATCATTATGAAACATAAGACACTGATAAATTGCAAAAGGAAAAAAGGATCAACCTGCTCAATGTGGCAGTCTTCAGATTGTCTCACCGCATCTCTAACCAGATTCTTATCGGCCAGCTGTGTTGAGTTGAACAGTGCAAAATGAACAGCATACGAACAAAAAGGTCATTTATATTAATGAGGTAAAATATATAGATATAAACCTAAATATATATAAACATTCATACAATAGCCTCAAACATACCCCAGGTTGGAAGCCAGGCAGGCCCAGCCCCACCCCGATGGTGGCCTTGTAAGGGTCCACCACGGAGTTGTAATGGACATTGTTATGGTAACTCAGGCGGATTGGTTCGTTGTCCGTCTCGTAAGTAGCATGGAAGGTGTTGATTGGTTCTGTGTTACAATTAATTTTAGTAAAATAGTATTTTTTTTTATCAATTTTTAAAGCCTCTAAGAAGGTGAAAAAAAATATTTGAAAAAATTATGGAATAATTTATTAAAGCTCAAACAAAATTTTAAAAAAAGATAAAAAAATTATGTACCTACCGAGACTCATTTGGTAGACCTCAATTGGTCTGTTGTACAACTCACAAAGTGCCTGCATCTCAATGTTGTTCCCATGGCAACTGTCCAACCTCTTCCTGTTCAGATAACTCGTGAAATCTTCTGTCACAAACTGTTTGAAGAAATCCCCATTCTTCGCCTGGGTAGGTTAGAGTAAAGTACATTCAAACATGAAAATATAACTCTCATAAAATATTTTCACATTAAACTCACAAATAAAAAAACAGTTGTTTTATTAAATTATTTTGAATAGTTTTAGATAGTACCAAATAGAAAATATTGTCACAAACCATGTAATCAACACAGTTTTGTCTGACGATTGAATGCATCTCTTGGTCTCCATACACCTGATCAGCTGTAGAGAATAAAAGATTGTAAATAAAACATTGTTTCCATGGGTTTAATCAAGGTAGGAATTAGTGTAGGTGTACAAGCCTTATAAAATTATTTTAGAACCTACCAACTGCTCTAAACAAGCAAGCACCATCTTCTCCCATCCTCTTGATGATGTAACCTCTCTTCTCCTTCAACATCATCTCAAATTCCTTTTCCTTCTCTATCTGATTTGAACTTGAAGGTCCCTGACATTCATCCTCACTATTGAAACCTCCCTTGTCCTCATCACCGGAATCTTGTTGCTGCTGTTGTTGTTGCTGTTTTGATGTAGACGCAATTGATGGGTTTTGTTGTGGTTGGGAAATTCGAAGACCCGACGACATGCCCCTGCCCAATGGTTGACCCTGGGACACGCGAGATGCAGGCAAAGGTTCATGTCGCTGTTTCCTGACAGTTCTGTGAGGAGATGACCGGTCCCTGATTCGTCTTTTGTTGGAAAGCAGCTGTCCATGGCTACCCACATTCTCCTCAAATCTGACAGTTGTTTCACGTTCGTGGTCTATTGGGGGAGGAGAGGCCCATCTTTGAGGTCCAGGTGAACCCGTCCTAACTCTCATATTATTTCGACCATTGCTACTCTCTGCCCCATTGGGACTATGAGGGTTTTCATTGTTGTCATTTTCAGATTTATCTTTGTTGTGTTTTTTCTTTGGCAATATCGTCATTTTTAACTGCGGAAATAAATTTTTTAATTTAGTAAAACTGAAAAATGTCAGCATCAACAGAAGCAAAAATTATTTTAAATGAAAATTAAGTAAGTTTAACCCCGAGTCGATATTGCGCTGCGAAAATAATCACCAAAATGGTCTAAAAACAAAAATTAGTCAAATGGCAATCTAGGGTGGATGGATGTGCGACGTTACGTCATTCTAGTAATGGTTTCATCTCTTTCTCAAACTTGGCACCTTTAAGTTCTTTTGTTAAAAATGTTTAATTTTTGTTATATTCAATATTTGTAAGATTATTTTGTTATTTAATTTGTAAAATAAAAACTATAAATTTTCATTTTTCTTTCAAAAATGATCATTTCGGTAACATGTACGGTTTCTTTTAAGTTATGGTTATATAAACAGTTTACTATTCTTATTTACTACAATAATAAGAATTATCATTTAATTTAAATAATAAAATAATAATAATAAAACATATTATCATGGATATAATAAATATCCGTATCCATGCATATAATACTTTAATTAATAATCCTACTATTTATTCTTCATAACGTTCTCAAATATTCTAAACTAATATATAAAAATATTTGAAGTTCTTTGTCCATAATCTGAAAAATTCCTTGCTGGAAGGTCGTCTTACACGTCGAAATAATTTTTTTCAGAAGAATTTGTCAGGGAAAGGCGACAGAGTAAAGACAAAAGTTGGTGTTTTTAAATCTATCTAACAAATTAATTGAAAAAAGTTAATTTAGTTGTCGTATCATATTCGTCAAATTTTTTCGTGAAGGTTTTTTAAGTTAGTTTAGTTAGTTAGTTTAGTTAGTAGTTGATTATCCGATTGAAATGTGCTGGTCGAAAATAGAATGGAGGCATATAAATGACATCAATTAATTAAATTATCATCAAATCTAATTTATATATAAAAGTACTCTAGGATACCTTCATGCATACACTTGATGCAAATTTTGGGATTGTCACTGATATTTTTCAACTATTTTCTTTAGTTAGCTAGATAGAGTAGTAAGTAGGTAGGTGAGTATCTTTGTCTGATCAGATAAACTCTCTCTCTTCTAATGCTAATCTAATTAGATATAGACTCTTTCCCACTAGGATTAACATTAAATAGAGTCTATCTGATCAGATAGACTAGCTAACTAAAGGAAATAAATATAGATATATATATATATAGATAGATATCTGCAAGTAAAGATATTTAGTAGAACAGCTGTTAGGAATGTTAAATCAAACTGTTAGGGAGGCACTTGTTGATTTTTTTATCAGAAAAAAAGTGAATTTTTTTGCTTGTCAATTAGATTTTAGTTAGTGCTAGTTAGGTGACGCTTGAAAATTTTTATAAAAATAATGTAATTAATGTGCTTAAGTTAGTTTAAAAACTAGTTTGTCATTTTTTTTATAATGTGTCATCGTTATTTGTTCTTATTGTTGCAATAAAACATTAAAAATAGATTAGTTATATTCATAATTTTAATTATATTCTTTTAACTATATCTCAATATAATTTATTTTTTTCAAATTTTTACTAAGATCATTAATGAATCATTTCAAAATTAATTACTTCTTTTTCAAGTGTTGCTTCAATTTACACTTTTATAGCTTGAATTTAAATGACTAAATACTCTGGTGTTCATACAAAATTGCTTAACAGTTGTTATACTAAAATTATTCAGTACCAATTCACAACAACTACTTACATTGTTACTTTTTGATTTATAATCTAGATTTTTAATATATATTACATCTTTTCATTATTACTTCCAAATTACTCACATTTTCCAAGTTAGGATAATTTGTATTTGTCTTTATGTCTGTGTCTTTATGTGTACTGTAAATGTCCAATAAATGGGCTACTTTGTTACAATAACATTATTTGTTACTAAATATGACACATGCACGCATACACACGCACACACACATACATATACATATATATATGTACGGTTGAAACATATATATATATATATATATATATACGGTTGAAACATATATATATATATATATATATATATATATATGTTTATATATATATATATATATAGCTATGTGTATAGGTGGTATAGGATTTTGCTTGCAATGAGTTTTCACATGACTGGTTACATATTGTTAGCTATTGTTGATGTTATTGTTATGTTATGTTATGTTGCTAGCATTGTTGCTATTGTTATATAGAGAAATTGGATGTAAGTATTACAGGATGAGGATGAGTGTTATATAAGTTTAGCACACCTTTAGTCATGATTTTGTAGTTTGTTGAGTGAAAAGGCTAAATAGACATTTTTAACTGATTTTATTCACTTTTCATTATTAAAATCTATATTTTGGTCAGTTTTTACATTAATTTTTTTTGTTTTGGCAAAAAAAGCTCAAATAAAAACAGGAGAAAAAGTTTGTATCCAAATGTTTTTGACTGTGTGGGAGGAATTTAATTTTTCTTGCTTTTCAAAGTTCTATGTTTAATGGATTCTCGCACTCTAAAGTCTATGTTTTTCATTTGTTTGTTTTTGTTTTTTATTCATTTGGGGTTTTATTTTATGAGATAAAACAAAAGACAAACAAACTTAAATGATCCTGAGATATATTTTTTTCATATTCTATTTTCAAATTCACATCTGCTCAATGTAATGTAATGTTTGTCAAAATCAATCAAAGTGCATGTAGTTTAACTTTTGTATTATGTCTTTGTTGGTTAGTTGGATGTTTGGTAATGTGTGGTTGGCTGATTGTGTGGCTGGTTGGATGGTTAGTATCAATCAACCAACCAACTCAAGAGTCAAATTACGTTTCTTTTGTAATATTTACACATTTAAAATTTTTAATTTAATCATTTTTTTAAATTATAATTTAGCTCTGTACCTCTTTTCTTCACCTTAGGACATTGTAGAATGTAAATTCGTCGGCATATTATTATTATTATTGTTGTTGTTGTTATTTATTTGTAGTAGTAGTTGTAGTAATAGTAAAAGTAGTAGTATTGTTGTTAATACTATTTTTTGTCTTATCTATGGGGATAAATATATATATATTAACACACTTTATCATTATTTTGTTGATAGTATTTTTATACTTTTATAATTGTCATTTTAAGTAGTGAAGTATTTATCTACATGTCTTTACAGGCATATAAATAAGCGGGCATATTTTCTTAAGTCATAAATTTGAAATATATTTTCTTAATAAATTAGTGAGAAAAGTTAGTTTTTGAACTTAGCATGACGAAATGTTCGTGTGTGTGTGTGTGAGTGAGCGTGTGTGCGCATGCTCTGGCACATGTCTTCAGTTGACATTGAACATGCATCTAATGCAAAAATGTATTTTTTTTCTGTGTTTTTGGCTCACTCTCATTCTTTCATTATCTCTTTTCTCTCTCCTCTCTTTCTCTCTCCTCTCTTTCTCTCTCTCTCTCTCTTTCTCTCTCTTTCTCTCTCTCCCTTTCTATTTCTTTTCTCAACCTCACTTTTTTCCATATACTTTTTATATTATTAATTAGTTGGACATAATCACAAATTGATGTATTATGCATATATGTTTGGTTGTTTGCATGTGGCAGTATTTTAATTTATTACACAATTTTAAAATGTAAAATATGTATGCTATTCTCTCTCTCTTTCTTTCCCTCTCTCTCCCTCTCTCTTTCTCTCTCTGTCTCTCTATCTCTCTTATGTGTGTTATGTATATACATGTATATGCATAGTGAATGTGTATGTCTTTATGTATATATATATATATATATTATATATATATATATATATATATATGTTGGTAATAGACCATAATTTTTACAATATTCTATAAATTGTACTGAATGTTTGGCGTTAATATGTTTAAACGAACTACAAACATATTAACGCAAAACATTCAGTAGAATTTATAGAATATTATATGTATGTGTGTGTGTGTGTGTGTGTGTGTGTGTGTGTGTGTGTGTGTGTGTGTGTGTGTGTGTGTGTTTTATTTCATCTATAAATACAACTGCCAATACTGTGTTCACTATGTGAATTCATTTGTTTCATGCATTATTTATAATTATAACTTTCAATTTAACTTTTCGAACAAAATTTTTTTTTTCAAGTTAAGAATTTGAGAATTTTATTTTCCATTTTGGAGTAATAATTTTAATTTTTTAAATGACAGTTAACTAAGATTTTGAACTGCTGCTGTTAAGTATTTCGTTTTTGTTTATTAGCGTTCGGTTTCCAACTTGAAGAAATGCTCCTCAGGCTATCAAAAGGTTGTATATATACACATACAAACAAACACGTGCAGACACACATATACAAACATACAAACAAATACATACATTAACACATACATACATACATACGTACAAACAAAAAACAACCACATTTCATTTTTGATTTAATCTGCCAATACACCTATGTGCAAAAACATTTATGATAATGTGATACCAGGTTATTTTTGACAACAGATTAATTTCTAAATCAAATTCTATTGAGTTGGTACAAAAATAATGTTGTAGTATTCCTACCATCCTCTTTTAAACAGAATCACCTGGCTTCTGTTTTATAGATAGATATATTCAATTGAAATAGAAGAAGAAAAACCATGGCAATCCTATGCTCGTCTGCTAATAAGAATTAAATTCATTGACAGCATTAGCATAACAATTAGCGTAATAGCATACCTCATGAGGCAAAATAATTCGAAAATTACACTTCTGGCAACATTTTTAAACATCACTCAGAATCATACACATTGGAATGTAATGTTTGACTAAATATTTGATATAAGCTAGATAGAGGAATAAATAACTTTCACAATGATATTGACTTTGTTAGTATATGCTATAAAATTTATTTAAATACATTATGTCCAAAGATTGCGTAATGCAAAATTGACGTTATTTTCTCACAAATACTAATACATTTGTAACTTTATATTCTCTTGTACCTGGTTACTCCAAAATTTCTTGAGAAAAAAAATGATTTTTTTTTACAAATTGTAACTTCATTGATCAAGATTAAGATGACGACGATGATGATATGACGATGACGATGATGATAATGAATGATAACGATAATGTTGTTTCATCACCATCAGGTAGATAAGAAACATCTCGTAGAGGCTTAGTTTTATAGCTACTCCAGCTATAGATATATATATATATATATATATATAACTTTACATGCAATCTCCTCATCAGTGTGATACAAATTAATTAGACACCTGAGTTCATGAGAATATATTATGTTCCGGATGATGAGGATGATAATGGTGACGGTGGTGATTTTGTTGATGATTATTATTATTTTATTTTCGTTGTTGTTTTTTAGATCAGGATGGTTTTTTTTGGGTGAATTAATTGATCTTATCTGCAATTGGTTATACATTTCTTCGTTATATAATTCAATTTTGAATTATATGATTATGGTGATTTTGTTGTCAGTGTTGATGATGATGTCGATGATGATGATGGTGAGGATGTTTTTGATGATGGCGATGATATTATTGAATCACCATCATCATTACGCTATCATGTTAGTATTGAAATTTTGTGGTTGCTGCTCTTTTCATTTAATTAGTTGTTTTCCTCATCTTCTTCACCAGCACACCTGCTTACATTGAGTTGTTATTTGTATGTATTTGTGTGTGTGCTTATGTGTGCGTGTATCTGTGTGTGTGTTTGTTGTATGTGTTGTATGTATTGTTTATACATGTAAAAGTTTAGTGTCATATTTGTCATGTGTGTACATTATTTCTAACTACATAACTGCTTTCAAATTTTTTTTTGCCTTGATTGCTTCAACTTTCATTGGTCATGTGTTATCAAATCATCTTCGGTCATGTTTAATATTAATCTATTAATCATGACCTGTCATAGTGGTCTGTTTTTTTATATGCACACACTGGTAAACACACACACAGACGCACACACACAGATAAACACACACGCCTACAGATAAACACACACACTTACACACAGATAAATACATACACACATACACGGGGCAATAATATAAATATAATTAATAACATTGTCCAGATGTATTTTCTTGGTCTTTAATAAGAATAACTGTTTGGTGTTAAAAGCAGACCAAGTAGTATGGTATGGTATGGTATGGAGAATTGGAGAGTAGTGTTAAAGGTGAATAAGAAGAGAGAAAGAGGTTGTGGGAATAGTGATGTGATGATATCCATAACTAATTGTTTGGTGGGTTAAAGTTGGGCCATCTATTTTTGTGACAAACTTATGTGTGTTAGTGTGTGCGGGCATGTGTATGTGTGTGTTTGTGCGTGTATGTGTGGTGTGTATGTTTAATAGTGAATCTGGTTTATGTATGGTGAAAATGAATTCTTTTTTAATTTTGAATTATCTATTTATATTTGATTCTTTTATCTCTGACATGTGTTCTGCACATGTGTGCGGTTGTTGACATATATGTACATGGTCGTCATCATAATTTTTTTCCTTACTCTGGTTGTTTTATTTATAATTAGCTTGTTTTATTTGTCATCTTTTGATAATTGCATCTTCTTAGATTTTATGACAAATTAAAATTATGAATAATTTCGAGTTTACAAAGAAAATCATGTTTATTCAACTTTGTTTCTATATAACATGTTCCAATTTTGTTTCAATCGTTGACTGAAAGAAACGCATAACCAGTGACTTAATTTTATTTTTCAAATTCTTATAAATTATTTGAAGTTTTTTAATTCCAAAACACTTTGATAGTTTGAATCACTCGTTGAAGCATTGATGTGTGCAATAATCTCTAGCAGCATCAGAAAACAGCCACGACCTTATTATATTCTCCATTTCAGTAATTTGTGACATCAGTCAACTAATTGTCAATTCAGAGATGTAAAAACAAAACAACAATGACCCTACGTGATAAGTTTTTTTTTTATTACTAGGAATGTACAAGGCAATCCAGTGTCCATTTTTGGCCCGCATGACTATTGGTCAGGTGAAACAGCAGGCCCCTGAGCTCCTGCAGATGATTGACCACTGCCCAATCATGGGTCGGATCATGAAGTGTTCCTCCCTGATCAACGAATTGCCGAAAGGTCAGTGAAATTGGCTATGTGTGGATCCGTGTAATTATGTAAATTGATAAATTTCAACAATTTGAAATACTTCAGATGAGAGAGATTCAGCAATGAAGAAGGCATTAAGCAGCAGTAAGGCAGCCACTTTGCCACAACAACTCGCTGACAATTCCCCAACAACATCACCAGTTGTGACGTCATCGTCGTCAGTGCAGTTCCAGCAACAGCATCAACTGCACACTAAAGTTGACGTCACGAAGACTGTTAATGACAGCAGCAGTAGCAGCAGCAACGTGACATTAATGGGAAAAGTGCTGGAACAGATTGATGGGGAAGATTTGCAAAAAAGAGGTGTTTTTATTTGTAGTTGTTTTCATCATTATTGTTTTTGTTGTCATCATTATAACTCTAAAAATAGATCTTTATTATCAATAAATGTTCCAGGAATCCCAGGACATCAAACAAGGGATGCGGATCCGATTTTGGAGGCAGTCAGGTCAAATGCCACTGAGGTCAAGAAGGCCAAAAAGATTACCCCAGGTCAGTCAGTCAAAACTTCATGTGTGTGAAATTAAGATATAACACATTAACTTGTGAATATGTGCGTGTGTGTGTGTGTGTTTATATGCAATAAAATTATATACCCACCCTTACAGTCAAATGCATAGGGTCGAACCCATTCAACTACGAGAAATTCCTTGAAGGCCAGTTGGAAGCCAAGAAAAAAGATAATTCTTACAGAATATTCAAGAAGGTCAGTAGAAAGGCCACAGAATTTCCCAGGGCCCTGGAACATTCTGAAGGGGTCAAGGACATCACGGTGTGGTGCAGTAATGATTATTTAGGAATGAGCTGGCACCCTAAAGTTCAACAGGCTGTCATGTCAGTTTTTAATTTTGCAAGATCTTTTGCTTTTGCGGTGGTGATAGTTAAAAATGATGTGACAATTGGGTTTATGTTGAGGGCTATGATGTTTTTTATAGATTATCATATTGTTTGATTTTTTTCAATTAAAATTGCACTATCATCATTCTAATCCGAATCCAATTTATTTACTCCACTCAAATTAGTGACGCCGTACACAGGCACGGTGTGGGGGCAGGAGGGACCCGTAACATATCCGGCAACTCCCCCTTCCACGAGGAACTGGAACGGGAACTTGCTGGCATCCATCAAAAAGAGGCCGCCCTACTCTTCACCTCCTGCTATGTGGCCAACGACACCACCCTCTTTACCCTGGCTAAAATGCTGCCTGGTCTGTGTTGCCTTTGTGGTTCTTTTTTAAACGCTGGTGTTGTTTGGTGATGATGTAACTGCTTTAAATTCATTAATATAAAATTTTACTACCTTCCAAAACATCAGCGGCAAACATTCCAGCATCTCCATCTTTCTCCCTGCCCACCACAGGCTGCCACATCTTCAGCGACTCGGGCAACCACGCCTCCATGATACAGGGAATTAGGAACAGCGGAGTGACGAAGCACATATTCAGGCACAACGACCCTGCCCACCTGGAGGAACTCCTGTCAAAAGTGGACCCCAACCTGCCAAAAATTGTTGCGTTTGAAACTGTTCATTCAATGACAGGTATTCTTGTTATCTGTGTAATTAATTAGGATGACCGCATACAACAACAGACTTCACACAGCAAAAACATACATACCTAGGAGCCGTTTGTCCTCTTGAAGAACTCTGTGCAGTCTCCAAGAAGTACGGGGCCCTGACATTTGTAGATGAGGTCCATGCAGTGGGGTTGTACGGGGAGCATGGGGCGGGTATTGGAGAGAGGGATGGACTGCTGGATCAGATGGACATCATCTCTGGCACTCTTGGTCAGTTTTCTTACTGAGATTCTTTTGGTTTTAAATTATGTGTTCTGACGACGTTTTCTTCACTTGTTAGCATTAATTTTAGAAAATATGATCCACTATTTATGATTTTTTTTATAAAAAAAAAAAAAAATTTTTATTAAATGATTTTTGAAAATCTCTTGCTTCCGCATTACAGGAAAAGCATTTGGAAACATGGGTGGTTACATAGCAGCCAGTGCAAAAATGGTGGACGCTATGAGAAGTTACGGTGCCGGCTTCATCTTTACCACTTCCCTGCCGCCAACAATTCTCTATGGCACCTTGGCATCAGTTAGGGTCAGTGCCTTGTCGTTGTTTTGTTTTGTTGTCATAGTTTGCTCATAACTCCAATTGATCAATTTGTATCTTATATTCATTTGCCACTAACAACAAGCACAACACCATCACAACGATATTTTACCAAGTACCAAACACAACCACTGATAACCAACACGCAGGTTTTGAAGGGTGAAGAGGGTCGCCAGTTAAGGGCCCTCCATCAATCTAATGTTTCCTACCTGAGAAAGAAGTTATTTGAGGCTGGCCTACCCGTTGTTCACTGTCCAAGTCATATTATCCCCATACATGTTAGTACGTCGTTGTTGTTGGTGGTGGTGATGTTTGTGTTGTTATTGGAGGTAATCATTATGTTGTTTATGGTGTTTCTATTGCTGCCGTTGTGGTTGATTCCTAACTGTTGCTGATCGACCAATCAAATAATGATTCCATTCAGGTGGGTGATCCCAAGTTAGTTGTTCAAGTAGCCAACGAGTTGATGTCAAGACATGGCATCTACCTTCAGCCCATCAACTACCCAACAGTTCCTCGCGGTCAGGAGCTTCTGAGACTTGCCCCCACGCCTCACCACACTGTAGCCATGATGGATTCTTTCGTCGAATCAGTAGTTGACGTTTGGCAGTGGGCGGGGCTTGATTTCAAGACGCACTGCTCTGCAGAGTGTAATTTCTGTAAGCAGCCATTGAAGTTTGAGGCTCTGTGTGCCAGGGAGAGGGAATCTGCCAGCTGTAACGGAGAAAGATGTGATGAATTTTTGCTGGAGGCCGATAAGTGACGATTGCCTTGGTTGTGTGGTTGAGGATTTGGTGATTGATCGATTGGATGTATTATTTTTCCTCCATGTTGTAGGGATGGTTTGTCAGTTGGTTGGTGGACTGGCGATTAAATACATTGGTGATTGGTTGATAATTGGATTCGTTGATTGGTTTCCATAGAAGACTTTTCAATGATCGGTTTGTTGGTTGCTGGCTTTATTAAGATAGACAACTACTTATTGTATTTCACTGGCAAGAATGTAGACAATCAACATTCTCTTAAAAATGTCGCATAACATAACACCACATATTTAGCTAATTTGGCAAACATTCATGCTAAGCCTTGTTATATCTGTTTTTACTTTGCATTTATTAATATATTTTTAATTAATTAATTAAATTGATTGATTAATTGATTAATTAGTTCATTTTCTATTTAATTGATTTTCGTATAACTGGCACGCTATCGTTCCTACATGATTGTGTGTTTGAGACATTCATTTTTTATTACTGATTAAAATATTTATTTCTTTTTTTTTTTGTTAAGAATGGCTGAGTGTGTATGAAGATGTTATTCGTTCATTTATTTATTCATTTATTCATTCATTCATTCATCCATACATTCATTCATTCATCCATTCATTCATTTATTTATTGTATAAAATTTGAAATACTGCTTAAATTGAATGTTGCCGCTGGAATACTTGTTAATAATAACAATATTATCATTAAATAAATTGTGAATATTAATGTTTATTCGATTTTATTATTAATTATTTGTGTTTAATTCAATATTTAATGCCAGATCGACATTTCGTTTTCTGATTTCTATGTCTCCCTTTTAAATTGAGTTTATTTAAGTAAGAAAATAAATTCATACTATAAAATTCAGTTAACAATTTGCCGCCATTTTTCTTAGTAATTCATTCGATCAATCAATCAATCATTCATTTGATCGATCAATCATTCATTCAATCATTCATTCATTCAATCAATCAACCATTCAGTCATTTATTAGTCGTATTTGCTAAAAAATAGCTATCTTGACGTCGTTAACATGTTTTTTTTTTATGACATATACTCATCATCGTCATCATCATGTTTATTATCGTCGTCATCATCATCGTCGTCGTCATCGTCATCATTATTGTTGTTGTAATAAAATTACCAATAGCTGCTTATATGTACGCTTGTAAAGTTTTAAGACACCTGAAATAAATTCTCTCTAAATTGGTTATCAATCAACCTTTTTTTGGCTCCACTCATCTGATTGGTCAGTTGAATTATAATGTAGATGTCCAACGCGATGACTGCAGACTTTATCAAATGACTTGACCAAAATTTTCTTGATGTCATTCGTTCGTTTTTCATTTTAGTGCATGTTACAGTTTGCGCGGATATCATGGATATCCTTTGTGATGATGATATCATACCATGGATATACAGACTAGTTTTGTATGTTTATGGATGCTATGTATTATACATAGTTTGGTTTCATGTACGTGCGCTGATGAATAAATACATTTCTCAAATGGCTTTACTGTCTTTATTTTTGAAAATTAAACATCAAATATCTTTCGGAAAAGTTTTACACATATTCGAAGTGTGTGTGCGTGTGTGTTTGTGTGTTCGCTTATCTTACCTACCTGTAGAAAGTCTGTCTAATGCCACGAACGATGTTTGTAGACAGACGTTCACGTGAATTAAATAATGAAATGAGTTAAAATCCGTGCGGTGTTTCAAGTTGGAGTAGAACTTCCGAAAATAAACTTTGGTGGTGAATGGAATGGGAGTTTTTAATGGGAACTTAGAAGCGATGGGATTGGCTGGTATTGCTGAATTCTGACATGCTTTAAGATTTATAACAATTTGTCTCTAACGCTTAAATTTTTAAATTGTTTCAATAAAATTTAAAAAAATTATTGAGTTGAATTTCGTTTGAAAATAAATCGAAATATTGCAGAAAAAAGTGTTAGCGAGGTTTCCCGGAGCGCCAACAAACATTCAATCGATATATATGTATATTTAGGTATGTATATATATATATATGTATGTGTATATATATATGTATATATGCATGTGTATATATATATATATATATATGTGTGTGTGTGTGTATATATATATATATATATAGGTTGGTAATAGACCATAATTTTTACAATATTTTATAAATTCTACCGAATGTTTGGCGTTAATATGTTTGTAGTTCGTTTTTTCGATTTTTCTCACTAAAGTCTATTGATGAACGTTTAGTTTATTAAA